ATGTATGTATGTATGTATGTATGTATGGCATTCAGCTTTGTTCGGGTATTTTCCCACGTCATTGTAGTTGTGCTTTTAAAGTTGTAGCAATAGGCTGCCCCAAATTTAAATCTAAAACCACTATAAAAGCCGGACTCACAGATGAACACTATACAGAAGCCTGATGATGGCAGATGAGATTCTGCCGAAACGTTGCTACAACTTTAAAAGCACAACTCCAATGACGTGGGAAAATACCTGAACAAAGCTGAATGCCATACATACATACATACATACATACATACATACATACATACATACATATGTACATACATACATACATATAAAATAAATATATAAATATAAATATATAGATGGAAATAACCTATTGTTTCTTTGTAGAGTTAATATTTGCCTCTGGATTTTACCCACGCTGCTTTCTTTTCAGATTCACAGAAAAGGGAAATCTGGAAGTACTGCTTTTCACCATCCAGAGTAAAATGAGGGCTAACAATCAAAAAGTATACATGCCCAGAGAAGGAAAACTCATCTCAGATATCAACAAGGTAAATACCTATATAAATTTCTAATTGATTTGTTATCCCAGTGCTATTAATTGAACTGTGGGATGATCAGGATTTTGGAGAGTAACAATAATCCTGGATAGGGTTTCTAGTATATAATGGAACAACATTGTGACTTCCAAATGGTTTGGTCTTAAACTAACAAAAACCCTTAAATAGCAGGGTCTACTTAATTCTTGTATATTAATTAAGCCAGTTTGTTCTTAAACACCGGGCCGGAAACAGTGAGGTTGTGAGTTCTAGTCTTACCTTTGAATGAAAGCCAGCTGAGGGTGACTTAGGGTCAGTCACTCTCTCAGCCCAACTCATCTTCCATGGTTGTTGTTGTTTTGGGGGAAATAGGAGGAGTATTAGCATGTTTGCTGCCTTGAATTATGTAGAAAAATAATGAAGGTGGGATTTGAATAAATAAATCATTTTTTAAACATCTAAAATAAAATTTAAAAACAAATTATGATAGGAATTAGTTCACCACATCTGCAGTGTACCTGGTTGGCATATATACCGTATTTTTTGGTGGATAAGATGCACTCCCTCCCCGCCACCAAAGTGAGTGTTTGTCTGTGTGCCTTATACAGCGAATGTTGCTGAAGCCCCACCTACCCGCCAGCCCCTACCTTTCGGCCTCTGCCTCCCAGAAATTTGCCTCCTTGCAGCAAATAGCAAACAGCCTGGTCAGCTTCAGCACAGCCTGATTTAGCACAAGCAGCTGATTGTCGGTTGGATCTGCCTCCCAACGACCAGCTGTTTCAGGCTACAAAGATCGCCATCGCCTATTGCTGCTTCCTCACACCCAATTTTCAGCCTCTGCATCACATTTTCCGCCTGTGCACACCCCATTTTTGGCCTGTTCCAGGTGGTGGGAATCAGAACAGGCTGAAAATGGGGCACGGGGAGGCCGAAAACGGGATGTGGAGGCCAAAAGCCAAGTGTAAGTGCATGCTGAAAGGATTTGTTTTCTGAGACAAAATGAAGCCAGACAGAGTGATAGGTGAACAAAATCAAAAATAAAGGAGTGGTATCATGAAACTCTCGGTTCCATTCCATATTTATTTTGGATCAATAGAAGGATATAGCCCAACCTTGGACTCTTCTTTTCAAAGTGACTTTTCTAGCAACCAGTATCAGGATTAGCTGTCCTGATTCATCTCTGCTTCTTCACACATTCCTCCCAACTGAGTTTCCCAGTATCCTTAATATGGAAGAAAGAAAAGGTAGTCCCTAGAACAGCATTTCTCAAACTGAGCCACTTTAAGATGTGTGGACTTCAACTCCCAGAATTCCCCGTGCTGTCTGGGGAATTCTAGGAGTTGAAGTCCGCACATCTTAAAGCAGCTGAGCTTGCAAAACGCTGCCTTAGAAGATGTCTGTGGATCACAGGCCAGTAGAGAGTAAATTTCTGACTTAGGTTCATGCATTCTCCATAAAAATTTAACTACAAAATGCCAGTCACTTTTTGTGCACTATAGAAGTGTTTCTGTGATTTGTCCTGGTCTTGCTTCTGGATATTATCATGTGCTCTACTCTATAAAAAGCAGGAGATTGAATATGCATTATTTAAAAATTATCATTTGGTTTCCTTGGGTCTTCATGTTTAGCTTTACCAAAATGAAGGCATTCATAATTTAAAAATGAAAATAGGCCTGAACTTAATCACCTGCTGCAGAGAATAGTTTTCAGGAAGGCTGTTATAGAAAAAGATTGTTGAGGTGAATAGGAAGAATATGCTGCTACATGACTTCCCTTGCCCAGGCAAATTCCCCATTCAAGTAGGAACGAGAGGATGTTCAAAGGGAGGAAAGTGTATAATGAAACTACTGAAACTTATTGCCCTGCAACAAAGATGCTATCAAAGAAGACAATTAATCGTTTTACTGGTTACACCAGAAGAACACCAACTAGTTTCACAAGATCTAGTAGAGATAATGTACTTTTAGAAGGATAACTCTTTATAATTTCCTTTACATCCTGGCTGGAATTCTCAGGGCAGCTGTTGCTTTCATGCATAATTGCAGTAATAAATTCCTCATGTGTGAAATTGCTTGCAAGTTCTTAAGTATCCTTAGGTTCCAAACAGCAGGACATCTGAAGATTGAATACAAGATGGCTGATTAGGAATTGAGAATTGTTTATTTTTTTTAATAAGTAAGATCCAATAAATGGCCTGGCTTCCTTGTTTGCATTCTGTTAAAACATGCAATATATTATATGGCCTTTCCTTCAAACAGACATCTGACCAAACATTTTGGATTAAAAGGTGCTGAGCATTAACTGCTCAGAGAACTTGTGATGTGATATCCTGATGTTCTCTGCTGGATCAGTTTGCTTTATTGCAATATTGCTATGATGGCTTTTGCTGCTTTGATTGTGTTTGTAAAGTTTTCAGGATGCATTTCTTCATTTCTTGGGAAAGTGCATATGTTGCTAAGATAAGAATACCATCCTGACTAAAGGAAGTCCTATCCAATTTTTTCTCCCTAAGCAGTTTTTAAAATTTTTCACTGTAGCCATGAGTCCTTGAAATGTTTCCTTTTATAAAGTGAAACCTATCCTTTCTGAGTCAGCCATAAGGTTTTGTCATTTAGCACCTGACTATTGCTATGCAGAATCTAGAACCCTTCAAATGAACCACAGAGAGGAAAACTCCCAGGTAAAACAATAAGATTTTATTCTATTTTATAGGAGTGGAAATGCTACAACTGATACTTCTAATGCTTTCATCTGCCCTTAATGTTAAGGGTCTTTGTCTTTTAGATTTCCTAAATAATACCAGCAATCCCAAACTGTCTTATTAAAATATTGTGTAATATTGATTCAGTGCTGAAATAAACATTTACATTTCCCATTTTTTTCTTTGTGTAAACTGTATTTTTTAATTATTTACTCAGGCCTGGGAAAGACTGGAAAAAGCTGAACATGAAAGAGAACTGGCATTGCGTAATGAGCTCATCCGACAGGAGAAACTGGAACAACTTGCTCGCAGATTCGACCGTAAGGCAGCTATGCGGGAGACTTGGCTAAGTGAAAATCAACGACTGGTTTCTCAGGTGACACTTTTAAAGAACCTAGGCAAATAAAGCCGCATTCTCTAACCTGGGGATAATTCCCACTTGCATTAGTGGGGTGGACATGTTTCTCTGCATTTCCTTCAGGATTCTGAATAAACCTACACAGATATATTTATGAACGACTTCCTTGCACTAGTATCTATTAACCAGAAAATGCAGTTTGTCTCCATAAAATTTAGTCATGTTCAGGTTTACTGCAAACTGTATTTTTTTTTAATTTCTAAAATGATATTGATGCAAGATTCTACCAGAAATGGCAATCCTTACTGAATTCTAATTCTTCGTTGTAGACCATTAGAGACACAACCCTACAGTAGCATCATCATGTCAGAAATGTTAATAGCCTTGTAGTAAAGGGTAGGGAATTATGACTAAGTAAGAAACTGGACTAAAGTTTACTTGTCAAAACGAGTGCAAGTCCACCCTTCCACATGATCCAGATATGTGCGTTTGCATTTTGCAAATGCAAAATAGGGTGTAACATGGCGGTACAACTTTATTGATTAGTCAAGTGGCCTATCAAGAGTATAGGCACAGCACTGTGTTCATACTATGGCTAAGCCATGTTTGCTCACCAAGGCCTCGTTGAATAAGCCACAATTGGACAATTGGAGGAACAAGGTAAGGGAAACATCAGAGGTCAACCAAATCTTTTAAACAAGTTGCTCGTCAGGTTCTACCTCCCAAGGCCACTAGATCCTAAGCCATTGATAGACCTAGGAGAACTACCTCCCAAGGCCACTTGATCCTAAGCCATTGATAGACCTAGGAGAATTGCAGAAGTGTAATAAGAGACTTTATGGTAAACAATATCAATACCATTGTACTATTCTACTTAATGCTTCCTCTTCTAGGACAACTTTGGATTTGATCTTCCAGCTGTGGAGGCTGCAACAAAGAAACATGAAGCTATTGAGACAGATATTGCAGCCTATGAAGAAAGAGTCCAGGCAGTGGTTGCTGTTGCCAGGGAACTTGAAGCAGAGAACTATCATGATATTAAACGCATCACTGCAAGGAAGGATAATGTGATTCGCCTATGGGAATATCTCCTGGAGTTATTAAGGGCACGTAGGCAACGACTAGAGATGAACCTTGGTCTGCAAAAGATCTTCCAAGAAATGCTCTATATTATGGACTGGATGGATGAGATGAAGGTAAATGGCAGAACTGTATGCTAACTGTATTCAGAACAATAAGCAAGCTTTCATTATACATTTATTAGGCAGCTGCTCACATTTTCCAATGAGATAAAGATATACACAAAGGATATGCAGATTCTCTGGTTATAACTGTTCCCATTACATATGTCAGCTCTCAGTTAACAAGGAGGTTAGAATATATTTTGAAAAAGTAGAGTAGATTTGGATTAAATCTTTGGGCCTAAAGCTAATCCTTGATTTATGAACTCAGTTGGGATGGGCATTCTTACTGCTAAGCAGTGAAATTGTTAAGTGACTCGTGCCCTATTTTACAACCTGGTCATAAGTCATTCTTTTAGCACTTTCATCACCATGAATAATCATTAAACAAATGGTTGTAAGTCAAGGACTACCTTAATATCAAATTGTAATAATTTTGTTGCTATGGATCTTTTGAGAACCGAATAGTACAAAATAGACAGTCAGTTGGGAAGTGTGAATTAGTGTATAAAATCAGAAAGGTAAGGAACAAGTGCTGAGTTCTTTATTTGCAAAAGAACTTGTATTTTATGGAATATGCTGGGCAAGTACAGAAGATCTAAGAAGGGATATTTTATGAAGCAGTAGTCAGAAAAATATTCAATTTTTTTAAAAATAAACTATTAACAATTTATGCTTTCTCCAATTGATTCTATACAAACAGGTGTTGCTAGTGTCTCAAGATTATGGCAAACATCTCTTGGGGGTAGAAGACCTGTTGCAGAAACATGCTCTTGTGGAAGCTGACATTGCCATACAGGCTGAGCGAGTGAGAGGGGTCAATGCATCTGCCCAGAAATTTGCTACAGATGGGGAAGGTAAGATACTTGGGGTCACTCTTGTGTACTTGACCTATGCGAGTTGTAACTCCGTGTACGTTAGGTGTTCAAAGAGATAGAAGATAGCAATTATTAGTTTATTGTAACCACTCAAAGTCACCTTTTGTGAGTTGGGCAGTCACATAAATTAGACCAGTGAATACATAAAAGTAAACTGTCAAGTGGAAGGGAACATATACACACCCAGATTTTCTGGACATGCCTATCCATCTTATACCTGTGCTTCGAGAACAATATTTAAATAAGATGTTTGCATTTGCAGAAAGAATACATGTAGATCAGGTGTGTACAGTCATGAAACCGTATATATTTGATCAAAGTTAGCATCACTGATTATATGGCAGTACACACTTAATTTATTGGCCAGTAAAATATGTGTTAAAACAGATTTAATCATTATGGTGACTCAGCCCTGGTTCCAGCAATTTTCACTAATTTTCCTTTACATTTCTTTTTTCTGGCTTAATGTAGCCATTATTGCAGGTGTAATAAAAACAAAAAGCCAGCCAAATCTGGCCACATGATATAATGGGTTTATACATATAAAAAAATCTGTTGAGAATTATGTACCCTACATGCGGTTTCTTCAGAATTTCCTACAATTTGCTGATGTTATTTTATCACATCACAGAAGGAAATTTTAAAGGATTTTTTAGAAGAACAGATTATTTTGTTCCCTGTATTGCAAATATTTTGGATGCATAGAATTTGGGCTGTCTGTTTGCATCTTGGGAAGTGGTTCTACCAGAAAGTTGCTTTAATTTGCACTAAGAGATGTCTCTGAAATGTGCATGTATTAAATTGAAATAATTTAGATTGAAAAATCTATGACCAGATTTTAAGGAACTAGTATTTGCTATGTCTCCTGGTATAAATAATGTAATATTCTCTTGTGACTAATTTTCCATGTCCTCTTTCTGCCTGTGGACAGGTTACAAACCCTGTGATCCTCAAGTTATTCGAGACCGTGTGGCTCATATGGAATTCTGTTACCAAGAGCTATGTCAGCTGTCAGCCCTACGCCGTGCTCGCTTGGAAGAGTCACGACGTCTTTGGAAATTCTTCTGGGAAATGGCTGAAGAGGAGGGATGGATAAGAGAAAAGGAACAGATCTTGTCATCAGATGATTACGGAAAAGACTTAACCAGCATTGTCCGGCTTCTTAGCAAACATAAGGCATTTGAAGATGAGATGAGTGGTCGAAGTGGTCACTTTCAACAAGCCGTCAAAGAAGGGGAAGATATGATAGCTGAGAATCACTTTGGGTCTGAAAAGATCAGAGAGAGGATTTCAGATATCCAGAATCAGTGGGCTAATTTGGAGCAGCTCTCTTCCATACGGAAGAAACGACTGGAAGAAGCTTCCCTACTTCACCAGTTCCAGGCTGATGCAGATGACATTGACGCATGGATGTTGGATATCCTCAAAATTGTCTCAAGCAATGATGTTGGCCATGATGAATATTCAACTCAATCCTTGGTTAAGAAACACAAAGATGTGGCTGAAGAGATTGCGAGTTACAGGTCAATAATTGATTCTCTGCACGAACAAGCTAACGCCTTACCACAGGAGTATGCAGAGTCTGTAGATGTTCAGAGCAGATTGTCTGGAATAGAGGAAAGATACAAAGAAGTTGCAGAACTCACCCGGCTTCGTAAGCAGGCATTGCAAGACACTTTGGCTTTGTATAAGATGTTCAGTGAAGCAGATGCTTGTGAACTTTGGATTGATGAGAAAGAACAGTGGCTGAATAACATGGAGATACCTGAGAAATTGGAAGATCTGGAAGTGATACAGCACAGGTAAGAGGCCTTGTAGCTTTTTTTTCAATTCCACATTCATTGAGCTATGAGCTTAATCATTAATGCTTGTTGGGTCTTTTTTTCTTTTCCCCTTTTCTAGATTTGAAAGTTTAGAACCAGAAATGAATAGTCAAGCATCACGTGTTGCTGTCGTTAATCAGATAGCTAGGCAGCTGATACACAATGGCCATCCAAATGAAAAAGAGATCAAGGCACAGCAAGATAAGCTCAATACAAGGTAATGTATTTGTCTCTGGTCTCATTTTGTCTAATTTTTAAAGCTTTAAATGTTATCTTTTATCTAGGGCCAGACAGATATTGTATCATTTATTATTTATAGTCCATGTTGTCCATTCAAAATGGAATAGATGCATTTGCTGCTGAAAAATAATAATGATCAATTGGCATTTACTTTTGTCAGCCAAACTGCTCTCTCTACCCTAGTTAGGGTTGCCTACTTTATTCAGAAGTTCTAATTATTTGCCAACATTAATTGAACAAATGATGTTATTTGCACCTGCTGCTTATAGATCTTTTGGAATGTTCTAAGTATTTTAGAATGTATTGAGAACTACAAATAAAGAAGCAAAAAGCACATTACATTTTGAAACGTGGAACAGAGAAGCAATGATGAAAATGTGAAGTTCACTGTTTTTTCCACTCTGCATCTTTGCTTTAGGTGGAGCCAGTTCAGAGAACTGGTGGACATAAAGAAAGATGCTCTTATCTCAGCTCTCAGTATCCAGAACTATCATCTTGAATGCAATGAAACCAAATCTTGGATCAGGGAGAAGACTAAAGTTATTGAATCCACCCAAGAGCTTGGCAATGACTTGGCTGGCGTTATAGCTCTTCAGAGGAAGTTAACTGGAATGGAACGTGACTTGGTAGCTATTGAAGCCAAGCTCACTGATCTCCAGAAAGAGGCTGAAAAGTTAGAATCAGAGCATCCTGACCAGGCTCGAGCCATTCTATCTAGGCTTGCTGAAATCAATGATGTTTGGGAAGAAATGAAAACGACTTTGAAGAACCGTGAAGAGTCCTTGGGAGAGGCAAGCAAACTGCAGCAGTTTTTGCGTGATTTAGATGATTTCCAGTCCTGGCTTTCCCGCACCCAAACAGCCATTGCCTCAGAAGATATGCCCAATACATTGATGGAAGCAGAAAAGCTGCTTACCCAGCATGAAAACATTAAGAATGAAATCAATAATTATGAGGAAGACTATCAGAAAATGAGAGATATTGGTGAGATGGTGACCCAGGGTCAGACTGATGCTCAGTACATGTTCTTACACCAGCGTCTGCAGGCCTTGGACACTGGATGGAATGAGCTTCACAAAATGTGGGAAAATCGGCAGAATCTTCTTTCCCAGTCCCATGCCTACCAGTTATTCCTTAGAGACACAAAGCAAGCAGAGGCATTTCTTAACAACCAGGTAAGCAGTTATCATGACAAGGATGCTGTGATTCTCAGAAAGTAGGTTCGGGCAACATGTGAGTCTCCAAATGTTATGAATAGTATCCCCTTCTGTTGAATTTGAGTTCAACAGTATCTGGGAGGGGGATCACACAATGCCCATTCTTGCTTTAAACTGACTGTCTTTTTGGAGAATACTTCTGAGATACATTGGTAGCATTTTCCCACTTCCATTGAACTGACTACACTGACCAAATTTTAGCCAGCCACATGAAAAAATAAGCACATTTTTGTACTGATAGAAAATTAATTAGAGATATTTTCCTGTGGGGTAGTGATCCTTATTCTCAAGAAACCATTTTCTGAATGGATAAGAAGTGTTTTGAAAAAGATTTCTTATAAAGAAGCTATGATAAGCTACCCAAGCTGATATATTGACTGTAGTCAGGTAACACATACCTGGATCAAGAAGGAGTGACAAGCTCATGCCCTGTTGTTGTTTTTTTCCCTTCTCATTTATTGGGTATCTGAATAAAAGCCTTTCTGCTTTTCCCAAACCTTTATAATCCTGTATTGGAAGAATGCTTCAAGCCACAGGTGAAGAGAAATCAGGAAGTCATCTGGTTAAGCTTGCATTCATTCACAGTCCTCCAAATCATGATGCTGGAATCTATATATATTTATCTATATCTATTGAAGGTGACTATATATGCGTGGCATGGTCTTGCAAATGGTCCAGCAGATCTACATTTGTGAAGATTCACTTTTGGCTCAACAAGATTAACAAGTATTTAGAAATCAGTTTGTTTAGATATAGAAACACGTTTAAAAATTCACAGGGATTATGCATTGGGTCAATAGAGGCCATTTGGACTAGAGATATGCAAATCAGTCTACCACTCTGGTTGAATGCATTATGTTAACCTAGATAATGTTAACTGTAGACTAAACAGCCATTAGTTGTATAATAAGTTATATCTTACTCTAACTATTTTTAAATTACAGGAGTATGTTTTGGCACATACTGAAATGCCCACCACTTTGGAAGGAGCAGAAGCTGCTATCAAAAAACAGGAGGATTTCATGACCACAATGGATGCCAACGAGGAGAAGATCAATGCAGTTGTAGAGACGGGAAGAAGGCTGGTTAGTGATGGCAATATCAACTCAGACAAAATCCAAGAGAAAGTGGACTCTATTGATGACAGGTACATTTATTAATGATACTTGGGAGTGCCGTGTGCTTGCCAAATGCACAATATCATGAATAAATTGACTGGATTCACACAATACATTAAGTTACAGTCAAATAAATTTGGCATTTGATGCTCTAGCAGAATATTCATTGATATTAATAAAGATATTAATTGAGGGCAGCAAAGAAAATTGTTTAATGTTTTAACCTGAGGGTGATTATATGGATGTTTTCATGTAGGACTATTGTAAGCTGCTAGATTCATACGACTGGGTGCCATACAAATATTTTTAATAAATAATACATGGGGAGAAAAAAAACAGCAATTCAGTTCAAGCACTGTGATCCCCCATATGACTAGAATCATGCCATGAGGGCCATGTGAATTAATGTACCAGTTCTACTCTATCCATCCCAGCATTTTCCATAAGTTGTCCAGGTTTATAAATTGTACCATGAAGCTACCAGAGTAGAGGTGATGTAGCTGGGATTTCTGAGAGCTAAATATGCTAGTTGATAGTTCCTGACTGCTTGTCTAACACACCTGTTGAGATTAGGGAAGGTATTAGGGCATAAAATGCCCAGTGTTCCAAGTAAGAATGTTCACATTTCAGAATTCTTTTCTGACATTTCTTGTGACTTGATCAGTATTCAGAACAAAGTCAGTTGAATGTCAGAATGTATTGTTCTTACTCTGTATTGAACATGGATCTCCTGTAAATTTACTTTGACTTTAAGTTATGCCAGTCTAGGCTGATTCTAACTTTAGTACTTTGCTGGCTGATATTACTCTTTTTGGTTTCCTGTGTTGGGCTTACCAGGCTGTAATACCAAAAGAAAATTACATTTCTAATTGCCCTCAATGATGTAGAATAATGTTCTACATTAGAAGCAAGTGCCAAGTTAGAAAAATAAGTTGAAAGGGATCCAGGACAGACTTCAGAGGTGGGATTTAGGCACTAGGATGATGGCATCATCTCTTCTCCAGTGCCAGGGCTATAAAAAATCTTTGCATGGGCTTCCAGAAGAGTAGCTATTGAGAGGCTGGCACACAATTCTATATGGCTTTAAGGTTGTTAATAATAAAGTGATGACATCCTCTATCATCACCAGCTTATAAAGGTAAGTAACATATCTCTTGTATCAACTTCCTTGCCAACTAGACTTAAGTGCCAGCTATAAGTTACATGTATACTCACCCAGCCACTTTACTAACTGTTAGCTATGCTGAGCGAATGGCACATCTGATTGAAGATTTTGTATTTGCACTTTGGCTGAAACAATGTGCTTTTTCAGATTCTAGTTAGCTGTCAATGCTCATAGCTGGGTGAAAATAGTATGTATTTTAAAAATAGACAGTCCCAGGTTCAGTTGTATCTCCCCCCCTCTCTTTCTCTCTCTTCCTCCCTCCCTCCCCTCCTCCTCCCCCCCTCTCTTTCTCTCTCTCTCTCTCTCTCTCTGTGTGTGTGTGTGTGTGTGTGTGTAGTTTTAGGAACAAATGGAATATTAAGGCTAACCGCCATTTAAACTTAGATGTTTTAAAAATATTAACTGTAGTCTGGATCCACACTATTTTAAAAATTTTTGGGTTGTTACATAGTTATAGTTTCCATAATTTGCACATAATAATAATAGAACCTAATGACTAAATCCAGACAAGCAAAGGGTGACATACGAAAACGCATCATTTTTGTAGCACAATTAGAGAACTTAGTAATAGTTTCCCACTTTGCATGATAGAGAAAACATAGTGAAGATGTTCTGGTTTATTTTCTTGTTCACCATGAAGAGATTATGTTTATAGCTTAAAAGATTTATTTATATTTCAGTTTATTGAACCAAGATATAATAATCAAACCTTTTAAAAACTGAGTTGCTGTTTCTCATTTTCTTTTAATCTAAATCCAGTATACTCTTAAAGAATCATTGATATTTGATGTCTTGTTTATTTGTTTTAATGTTCAGCAATCTGAACTGTTTTTGTTTAATTCTGCAATAATCTCTTTCAAAAATAAAACTTGCTTGTAATTAGGGAACTCTTAAAAATACATACCAGAACTTCCTTTTTCTAGAATACATAGGTACAATCACTTGCAAAGTTATCTTAAGCCTGTTACTTTATTTAAGTATTATGAAAACCACCAAAGAGCTTGACTTGGTAAGAGTTGGTTTATAGAATATTGAGTCATAGCCAAGGCTTATTAAAGAGCTTTGGAGGGAACTATCCCTTGCGTGAGAAAAATCTGTAATATGCAATTGAATTATTAACAGAACATTCTGTCAAAGCATTTTAATTTTCTTGCAATTTTTTTTGAGGAAAACTGGACAAGTTTTGCCCTTTATAGTGACAAAAAAATTCTCATTGCTGAGTGAAAAAAATTGGTCCAGTTTCTGTTACTAATTTTTACAGGAAATAAAAATGCTATTATCTGTAAACAGTACCACTTGAAATTGACATTCTATATGAGTTTTGATGACAAAACTATTAAGAGCCACCACCACAAAAATAATTTATTTTTAAAGAAGAAAGGCTACCATGGTAGTTTTATTTTAAAAAATTTTTTCATTTCTCCTCTATTCAGTGAACAGCGTAAAACTAACCATACCATTATTTGCACTGCAAAAATCTGGATAATCACTAGAAAGCAGTATTTTTCTTTGTTTGCTGCCCTCTAATGGAATTTTGCCCTCCAGATTGGATAGCCTTTCAGTTGGCTCTTTCTCATTAAGAGTCTTTGGCAAGATATTTTTTCACTTTCCTTGCTGATGTTATATATTGATGTTATGAACTAGCTACAATAATCAGCTAAAACATAAAGTGTGTCTGGTTCAGATTTTTTTTCTCAGTGTTTCTGAATTCAAAAGATGATTTTAAGTGAGCCACCCTCTCCTTCCCTGTTTGATATGTGTTGGGGAGAGCGGGAGTAGAAGGAAGATCTAAATTAAGACTGATTACTATTAATAATAATAATTTGGAAATAAATATTACAAAGCCATATTATGAAGCCTGTGAAAAAAATATTTAACTTTTATAAAATTTCTGTAAAACTTCTATATTCCTATGCATTAAAACTCATTCTCTAGAAATTTTGTAATACAAAATTACTTTTTCAAAATAATTCACATGTAGCTCACCAGGGTTTCTTGAACTGTCCACTTCTTCTGATTAGCTTGAATGTGCTACTTTAACATGCTCCACATAGTCTGGTGTCTGGTAACTGGTGCAAAATGTAGCAGCATGGACAATTATGTGAGCCTTTAGAAGGAGACAGGTTACACCTCTGCTCCATATGCTGCACAGTTACCATTTTGATTCTGGATCCAAGTCAAGATCCTGGATTTTACCTTTAAAGCTCTATATGGCATGAGGTCAGATTATCTGAAAGACCATCTCTCTCCATCCCATCAAGTCCAGTGGGAGAGGCATTTTATAGTTCTTATCAGCTAAGGAGTTCCATCTGACAGAATCAGGAGGCAAACCTTTTCTGCTGTGGCGCTGGCCCATTGGGTGAGATTAGCTTCATAATGGAAACTGCAATCCAACAATATAGATGAATTAATTCATAAATTTGTTTGTTTAGTTTTTATATTTTAAGCCACTCATCTCCCTCAGACAAGCAGTTTATTATACATAAATACTTAATTCATAAGTTATTCATACTTCTTAATTTTCTTCTCTTTAGTTGCTAAAACTGTGTTTGTATTCTCCAACAAAATGTTCATAGCCATATGCTTTAATGAAATTTATCTTTTAAAAAATGTGTATATAATTCAATCAGCATTCTCTTTAAATGAGCAGCATTCTCGTGTTTCTCAGCATTCTGGGGATTTCTGGTTTAAATCCCCAGAATCATCATGAGTGTATAAATGATTGTGAAGGTGTTTCATGTTACTCTTTTGTGTGTAGGGAAATTTTGAGGCTTGTCATTGTCCCTTATTTCAAGGGGTTTTGTGCTTGTTTAGTCTAGCATCTAAACATTAGAAAATAACAAAAAAAGTACAGTTTCTATTCTGACTGTATTCAATTTGCTCAAAGTTCCAGTGCTGAAAAATGTCTTCTTTGTTTTTACACAGACATAAAAAGAATCGTGAAGTGGCCAGTGAACTTCTGATGAGATTAAAAGACAACAGAGACCTTCAAAAGTTTCTTCAAGATTGCCAAGAGGTATGTTTTCTTAACCCATTGAGAAAATGATTCCTCCATTCCCCTTCAACAGAAGGTACTTATGTTTGTGTGTCTCAGTTTGTATTTTAGGTCCAATCTATTAATTAATAACAGATGATTGCTATCACCTCTAGACCAATTGATTAACCTTTAATGGCAGACAGTCCTTAATAGCTTTCATTATTCCTGTTTTTGTTTTGCTATACCAGCAACAGTATACCATTTTATTTAAAAAGCCAAAAGCCTTCTAGAAAGGTTGGTTCTAATGTAACATAGTTTGCCTTCCTTGAGAGCCACTCTGTGAGGGAAATGGGCAGTTAAATATTGATATATAAATAAATAAAATATTATAAAAATGAGACTTAAACTAAAGTGCATAATCATAAATTCCTAGATTATTCTTGTCTCCATTGCTTAACAATTAAATACATTTTGTAGTCAGATACAACCACCAAATTTTTCCTACATTGGAAAGCTGCTACAAGTTAAAATAAAGAGTTCTGGACAATTGGACTTGTGGCTTGGTAAGTTTTAAGGGAATTTTGTGTACTCTTATTCAACTTAGATGTTAGAGCTATAAACAGGTTAAATGACATCTGTAGATTTCAGCTCCTGAGAACCAATGACCTTCTCAGAGAGCATGCTAATCAAACTGAATTGTATTGTCCATGATCAAGAACTATTGATAAAAATGGAACTTAGTAGTGAGAAGGGATGGACATAAAAGAAATGCCTGATATCTCTGTTTGACTTGACTGTGTGAGGTTTAACAGATTTAACAGACTAACAGAGTTGGAAGGGACCTTGTAGGTCTTCTAGTCCAACCCCCCACCTAAGCAGGAGACCCTGTATCATTTCTGACAAATGGCAGTCTAATCTCTTTTTGAAAGCTTCCAATGATGAAGCTCCCACAACTTCTGAAGGCAAGCTGTTCCATTGGTTGATTGTTCTCATTGTCAGAAAATTTATCCTTGTTTCTAAGTTGAATCTCTCCTTGATCAATTTCCATCCATTATTCCTTGTCTGGCCTTCAGGTGTTTTGGAAAATAGCTTGTCCCCCTCCTCTCTGTGGCATCCCCTCAACTATTGGAACATTACTATCATGCCTCCCCTGGTCCTTTTCTTCTTCTTCTGTCTAGACTAGACATGTTGAAGTAAACAGTGCTTGCACCACGCACATATGAGTAGCTTATAGCAAGAACCATTCTGTCTACTTTCACGGACCTTCCTTTGCTATTAAAACTTTGCTCATAAATAGAATTGGACCCCCCCCCCCCAAACATCTCATCCCATGTTTTGCCACTCCGGGACCCTGAGAACATCTCTTTCTGTAAGTCAGGATAATATAGCTTCAAAGTGAACTCGGTGCTGCTTTGGGAGCAGACCAGCTATTGTCCAGTTGAAGCCTCAAAAAGAACCCTTCCAAAACCATGAACAACCTCTTTGTTTTCTCCCTCTGAAAGGCAGATTCTTCTAATTCCTGCAATTGCAGATTTTCCTTTTAGTTCCCTCTTTAACAAGCCTTTTATGAAGTGACCTTTGGAAATGTTCATGAATGAATGAAAAATGATCTTTGTCGACCAAAAATAGAGGGTGGCTGGCCTAGCTGTCCCATTCTGCTCCACTCCCTTTGCTTGGATAAGACTTTATATGTGGGAGAGATTTGTTGCAAGCTATGAATCAAATCTATTGACATACTTTCCTCTTGGGGGTGGTTGGCTGAAAAAATGCAGAATGTGCAGCTTCAACATGTACTACATTTTCTTAGCCTCACAGAAAAAAAGTTAGCAAGATTTGAATATGGTTACTTGGGAGAAATCTCTTTTAAATAACATGAGGTTCAACTGATAACCAATCCTCTTTGTTTGCCCGTGGAAGAGAAGTGATAGGTCTCCTTTACACATATTCCCAAATTTGTTCCAGAGTTTTAGAGAATTCAGAAAGAAGGAGAAGGCAAGGCAACTTCCTGTTTTATGGAATTTACAGAATTCCACTCCCATAGTGTTAGATGAAGCCTTTGATTATAGTCTCAGGCAGAGAAAAAAGCTGTGCCACTTTTAACATTCTAAAGTTCAGCTAGCGTAAGAGCACTGTGTTGACAATTGAATGTACACCATCCAATGTTGTCTCTTCTGACAATGATGTCCATATGAAAAACAGGTTATTAATGGTGGGAATTTCAGTAGGAAGGGCTTTCATGTCAAACTCTTTTTTGTCCAACTATTGAATAAGCAAGTGTCCCATTCTCATTACAGTCCTCACCATAATTCTGCATAACAAAGATTTTGGCAAAAAAAAAAAATTTCTAGTCAGGTTGACATATGGTCTTTTAAACTGCGTGTGTGCATGTGCGTGCGCGCGCGCTCGCACGCGCACACGCACACACACTATATATATATCAGGAGTTTAGATTGTGATTTTTGATATGAAAGGGTGTATTCTGTCACTGAGCTACACTGTTCCACTAGAATTATTTCTGAATAATTTGCATAGAGCCTTCAAGGATTTTTCTGTTGCTGACACTGAGTTAAGCTGTCTGTGACTTTTTTTAATCCATGTGTGACTGTATTTCAATCTTATAAATGTGCTTTTAGGCTAAGCTAGACATTGTGGCATCAGCACAGCTTTGGATATGGGATGGTCCATCCAGTTGCAAAGTGGCTAAGGGTAACTTCATGCTGACAAGTAACAGATGGGAGTAACAGATGAAGTCACCCCCTTTTCCATCTTGTCTTTTGGAAATCTTCCCCTTACTATTTTTCATGAGTTATGAAATAAATGTATACATAAGTGAAATGGCCTAAGGGAGAAACTTTGGCAGGGGAAAGCAACAAGCAATTCTGCTTTCCTGTTGAAACCAAGACCACATTGGTATTTGAAAATATAGATCTCTCTAAGTTAGTGCTGAACTGGTACTTTAAATATCCTTACTTTGGACATTTTCAAAACCAATGTCTTTTGCTTTCTTCCTTACCTTCTAGTCCCAGAATTAAGAATTATATGATTAAAAGGATTTTACAGAATCATTTTCCTTTGCAAAGCATATAGTTCAAATTTCAATGTTCAAAATAGTTTACCATTTTTATTATGATCAGTATAAAAAACCCTAAAATATAATCATTATAGAGATATTAAAATACTATAGGTAAGAAAAGCATGATGGAATACAGTCAACTCTTAGAGACATTTCAGAGTAGAAAGATTTTTATCTGTTTATAATAACAAATGAGACGTAACAGCTTTCCTCAGAATAATTAATGTCCAGTTTAGAAAAGATCCTATTGGAGACCAGTATTTTCATTATGCAAGTACCAGCATCTGGATTTAGTCAGCTGATTGTTGAAAAGTTTTTATGGCTGTGAACACACCCTATTTAAAGTTAAACATTTCCATCATTTTTCAGCTGTCTCTCTGGATTAACGAGAAGATGCTTACAGCACAAGATATGTCTTATGATGAAGCACGGAACCTTCACAGCAAGTGGCTGAAACACCAAGCCTTCATGGCTGAGCTCGGCTCCAACAAAGAGTGGCTTGACAAAATCCAAAAGGTATGGGGCAAAGGAATGGTGCTCTGGGAAAGGCATTTGGGTTTACTTGTCATGTCCCTTCAGGAACATGCTAGCATAGAATCATGTGAATTAGTCCTATGCATGAGGAATTACCAGGTTATGGCAAACTGAGTTAACAATTCTTGATTGATCATTTTGTTTATTTTTAGGAAGGGATGCAGTTGATTGCCGAAAAGCCTGAAACTGAAGCAATTGTGAAAGAGAAGTTGACAAGCCTACACCAAATGTGGCAAGTACTGGAAAGCACCACCCAAACAAAAGCTCAGCGGCTTTTTGATGCCAATAAGGCTGAGCTTTTCACCCAGAGCTGTGCTGACTTAGATAAATGGCTGAATGGCCTGGAGAGCCAGATACAATCAGATGATTATGGCAAAGACCTCACCAGTGTCAACATTTTGCTGAAAAAACAACAGGTAAACCCATTGGAGTAGTAAACCTTGCCACTTTAGTAATGGACAGAAAGAGGGGCAAAAACGATGAAATATATATGAGTTTATTTTTATGGTAAACATTTATCTGAATGCCTTTCCAGTTGGATAATATTCAAGTTGACTACAGTGTTCCATTATTATATCATTTTTAGGTATTTGGGATACTTCTGTTAAGAAAAGCAAATGTATCACGTGAAATATATCAAATTATTACTAAGCTGTGTGGTATTTAGTGGGGAAGTGCAATGCTTTGAATTCAGAAATGCTTCATAACATTCAGGGAACGAATGCATCTGGAAATTTAAAGCAGCTGTGTTTTTCCCCAGGGTTTGTTGGGCTGCCTGCTGCAGTTGCAGCCAGATACATACCTGTTCCAAACCATTATTTTTTGCTTGCAGATCTATAGCCTGCATAGCCATAGCATTTAGCAAATTTTGTTTCCCAGGTGTAATCTGAATACAAATCTCTTCACCTGCTGTCTAAAGCAAGGAGAAAAAAATATATAACCGAGGGCTCATATTTTCAACAGTTCATGGCAGTCTATAAAAGTATAAAATATCTTTTGTACACCATGTCCATTTGATGAGGACAGAAATAGCATTGTTGTCCTTGGCTTAATTCATTGCTATTGTTTTCCTCAATATTCTTGACATTTGTCTGTCAAATATGTAAGGTGTTAATTGGAGTTGATTTTCACCACAAGAGTTGAAATAGGCACTGGTACATATTTAACCTTGATAAACTTGTGCATTTTTTGCTTTTTGTTTGCAAAATTATGTTTTGAATGATTTGACCAAAAGGGCTTGACAAAATGAACACCCAAGCTATTGGTGAATTTCTCTCTCGTACATTTGCTATAAATCACAGAAAACTATGTCACAGAAAGATTGAACCTTTGCAAAAAGTCTCAAAAGTACTGGAAAGAATTATACAGAACATCCAGAAAATAAAACTCAAATTTAAACTACAAATATTTGTATTGGGCAAGACCCAAAGAATATAAATGAAAAGCACCACAATTTATTAAGAGATGGTTGACAGCAGCAAGAACCAATATAACACAACATTGGGAAAGAAAAACCTTTCCAACAATAAAAATTTGGGAGACTAAAATTTGAGAATGCGCAGCAATAGAAAAACAGACTGTATATATTTCTAGCAGAAGTCTAACCAAATTCAAGCAGAAATGGTTCCCTTATAAATAACATGTTGCACAGAAAGGCAAACTAAAACATTAAGAATATGGTTTTTCAAGAAAAAAGGAAGCTGTTTAAAAACCATTACAATGATCCAAATAGAAGTGAACTGTAATCTCACTGGATAGTATAAAGATAAGTAGCAATTAGTGGCTGAACCTCTTTGTTTTGTGGTCTTGCTAATGTTCCTTAGATGGTAATACCTCTTTAGCAAGGGATCTACATTTTCATTTTCATTGTAGATGCTTGAGAATCAAATGGATGTCCGTAAGAAAGAAGTTGAGGAGCTGCAGAGTCAAGCCCAGGCACTGAGTCAGGAAGGCAAGAATACTGATGAAGTTGATGGCAAACGTTATATAGTGGAGAAGAAATTCATGGAATTGCTGGAGCCCTTGAATGAAAGGAAGGCTCACCTACTGGCCTCTAAGGAGATCCATCAGTTCAACCGGGATGTGGAGGATGAAATTGTGAGTTTAAAAGTTATTCTCAGTTACAGCTTGACTTATTAATTTTTTGGATAGCACACAATGCTATTATCCAATCTCTTAATTCTTGTTATATTTCCTTCCCATGTCTGCATTCCATATTGATCAGTATATTTTATCTCTTCTAGTTGTGGGTTGGAGAGAGGATGCCTATTGCCACATCCACAGATCATGGGCACAACCTTCAGACTGTTCAGTTGTTAATTAAGAAAAATCAGGTAAGAGGCTAGATAGGCATCCTTCACATAGGCAAAATATTCAAAATTTAGATTCTTTCCTTAGTGAATATCTTCAGTGAGGTTGTGGATGAATGCTCTTGGTTTTATTTTCCCTTTTCCTTTCCACTGGCATAGTTTTTATATTAACTTTTTAATGAATGAAAAGCGTCATTCACACAGTGGTATTCTAATCATCTGTATAAGTTCAAGGGGCTTTTATATTTTATATGCAACTAATAGACATTAATCTATCTTAGTTTCTGTGATAGAAACTAAGGCTGCTTTATGACCACTGCAGAGATAATAAATGGCGCAGTTGTTTGAATCTACTCCACATACCAAAGTGAGCTGGTTTATTTTTTATGCCTGATTGAGTCTCCCATTTTGCACACATCATGATTTTCTGCAACAAAATCTGACATGGATATCAGATGTAGGTGCTTTGGGCATTACTTGTTTAAATCATAAATATGTGTTGACTTATCCAGTGAATTCATCTTTACTCTTGTTCTCGAGATGAGAGCAGTTTTGTAATGGTTAGAATGCTGGTCTAGAAGCGGATTTCTCATTAGAATAGAATAGAATAGAACAGAATAGAATAGAATAGAATTCTTTATTGGCCAAGTGTGATTGGACACACAAAAATTTGTCTTGGTGTAAATGCTCTCAGTATACATAAAAAAAAGATACATTCATCAAGAATCAAAAATCAAAAGGTACAACACTTAATAATAGTCATAGGATACAGTAAGCAATCAAATCATACTAGGAAACAGTCAATATAAATCGTAAGGATACAAGCGACAAAGTTACAGTCATACAGTAACAAGTGGGAGGGGATGGGTGATAAGGAGTGATTAGAAGTTTAACAGTAATAGTAGTGCAGACTTTGTAAATAGTTGATCAGTGTTGAGGGAATTATTTGTTTAGGCTTTTGGGGAAAAACTGTCCTTGTGTCTAGTGGTTCTGGTGTGCAGTACTCTATAGCATCGTTCGGAGGATAGGAGTTGAAACAGGTTTATGTCCGGGATGTGAGGGGTCTGTAAATATTTTCACAGCCCTCTTTTTGACTCGAGCATTATACAGGTCCTCAATGGAAGGCAAGTTGGTAGTAATTGTTTTCTCTGAAGTCTGTGTCTGTCCTGTTGGGTTGCAGAACCAAATTATCTTTTCTTTTAAGCATTTGTTAAACTATTCCTAGTATGTATATTAAATTCCCCCTACCCCCTTTAGACACTTCAGAAAGAAATCCATGGGCACCAGCCTCGTATTGATGACATTTTTGAGAGAAGCCAAAACATCCTTACTGACAGCAGCCTTAATGCCGAAGCAATCCAGCAGCGGCTTGCAGATTTGCAGCAGCTGTGGAATCTCCTGATTGAGGAGACAGAGAAACGCCACAAGCGCCTTGAGGAATCCCACAAAGCCCAACAATATTATTTTGATGCTGCAGAAGCTGAAGCCTGGATGAGTGAACAGGAGCTGTACATGATGTCAGAAGAGAAGGCCAAGGTAAGGAAGCTTCCTGCTATATAGGAAGCAGAGTACAGATGCAGTCACTGAGCTAAATCAGTGTTTTTCCACCTCAGTGACTTTAAGACTTTAAGATGTGTGGATTTCAACTCCCAGAATTCCCCAATTCCCCAACCAGCATGATAGCTTTAATATAATGTATAAACATTATATTATATAATGTATAAACACTTTACTTTTGTTCCTAAAGGCTGTATGGACATTAAATCTAGAATTAAAGACTGGTAAGTAGACCTTGCTATGAAACCAAGATCTACCCCAAGCTGTGTAAGAAGCTGTAAGCTTTTGGCAACACAAACTATAGAACTGATTCTCTGGAAGACCAAAATGGTATCAAGCTAGTAGTTTTGTTTTTATTTATTTATTTAATTTCTGTGCTGCCCATCTCACTGATACAGAGACTCTTTAATTCTCAGGTTAAAACTGGACTTTCCCAACAGTACACATAGCACAAAACTACAAATATTCCCATTTTTCCTTTTGTTAGGTTTAATTGTTTTACATGGGTATTTTTGGCTATTTTTATTTATATCACCTACCATCAGAAAATGATCATAATCTTTTCAAAATTCTCTTTATTTACAATGTGCTGTGTATCTAATCAATGTTGAGCAGCTGAAAGAAACTGTCTCTGCTTTTTTTGTCCATCTTCCCAAACTCAGGTATATAGTGAGCACTTGCAGAAATCAGATTTATGTGCTCAATTACTTAAAGAGAAACAATTTCCCTTCTTTCTCAGAAGCCTGCTTTTTTATGCTTGAGAGATGTGTCTTCTGATACTTTTTCTTTAAGATTTTTTTTCCTAGTTTATTAATGTTTTCTTGAATTGTCAAATATTTGTAGGTTTCTTAATGTCTGAACTATGGTTTATTTCTTTCATTTGCCCTGATATTAAGTAAAAAAAATCCTGTGGGTCAATTTACCATTGTCAGCTAATCTATGTTTTGACTTGAGTTCAGTCCACTGTGATTATTTCTTTTTTTGATGAAGGATACATATATGTTTCTAGAAAAGGTGACCATTTAGTTTGAAAAAATAACTATTCTGATTCAGATTTCATAAACTCAGGATAGGATTCTTGTATTTAGATTTGAGTAATGCATATTTAAAGCAATAAAGATATTTTAAAATCATTGAACTAGAAATCAAAAAGCAGCACAGGAGAAAAAAGCAAGAGGCCTGACATACATCCTATTGTGGCATGTCACTGGAATTGTAGTTTATGATGGGGCCATCATACCTATGCCATATTTTGTCCATTATTATTGTTAGATCATTCAGTTAACTTACTTTCATTAGAAATGCTGTGGTGTACTATAGCTGTATTTTAAGTGATTCCTGTCATTTACAAAACAGATAACCAGCAGGTTTCTTATAGCTAAAGAACATTGAATGATGTGACATTTGAAGAGGATTGGCGGATGTTTTCTCTGTCCTCTGTAACCCAGCACTTTTGACGTAGGTTGATTTTCCATAGGTAACATTAGCAGCATTGAGAACTGTAAACCTTGAGTTAACGATTTCCCATTTAGCAGACTTTAGAAGAATATTTTTAAATCTCTTGATATCATCCTCATATAATAGGCAAGTCTAGTGCAAGTAATGTGGGCAAAGCAATTACATTTATTTCATATAATTCATAATGACTCACGTAATTTGAGTAATAAAGTTATTATGCAAGTTGTACAAATTATAAAATGCATGTCAAAATTGCCACAAATTATATAATTTGTTTAATTTGCACAATGACATAATTACACAAATGACAAATAAATCATGAATTACATCATTGCAAGTAACACAAATAGTGGACACCAAACGGTCAGGAAAAGGCTTTCTAAATTTGCAAATTAGGATAAGTTGCCATTTAATAAACATGATTTGTTCTCTCTTGAAACTTTAGGATGAACAAAGTGCAGTTTCTATGTTGAAGAAACACCAGATTTTGGAACAAGCTGTAGAAGACTATGCTGAGACAGTCCACCAACTTTCCAAGACCAGCAGAACTTTGGTAGCAGATAATCATCCAGAGAGGTGGCTCCTGTTGTTCTGCCTTTTTAATTTGCTTTTGTTCTTAGGCCTTGTAAGAACTGCCCTGCTAATTCTGCTGAGTGGTTCATTAAGATTAGTATCCTTTCCATTTCTAAGCTCTTCTAAACTTACAATTATTCTGGGTAAAAAAGCAAACAGCAAGATTAATTCATAGCCTGATTTAGATCTAACAAGCTGCAGATTTCCTGTTCTGCTCAAATATTCCACTTAGTTACTTCCTCGCTTCTTCCCTTTTGGATTCAGAGGGAGACTTAGAAAGCTTGTGCTTTCAGTTTTTAATAAATCACGATTTTCCTTGATAACTGTATTCAACAAGGAATTTTGAGCTGCAGTTTTAGAACAATCCAGGAAACTATGTTTGTTTCTTCGTTGCATTGCATTTCCCTCATTGTTTACTCCCATGTCCAAATATGTGAACAAGTTAGCACACTAAATGTAGTCCTCAACTTATGTCCATTCAAATTACAAAAGACTTCTGCAGGGCTGCTTATGAACAGATTCAAAATGCTGGTGGCAATCCCTTCCCAGTCATGCGGTCTCATTTGGGTGCTCAGCAACCAGTCCACCTTTACGGCTGTTTGCAGTGATCCACAGTCATGTGATTGTGATTTATGACCTTTTGCCAGAAACCAGTATTTATTTAATATTACATTTGCGTAACAGCCATGGTGCTTCACTTGACTGCTGCAGGCAAGGTTGTAAAATCAGTCACGGTCACATGATAACCTGCTTAACTGATAAGACTTGTGATCATAATTCCAAGCTCAATTATAGTCATAAGTTGGGGACTACTTGCACATCATTCAGCAGAACCTTTTTGGCAAAATCATTCATTCCTCCACGCAAATAAATATCACGTTCTTCAGTAAGACAGGCTGCCAGGAATAGAAATCAGTAAAAACAAGACATAAAAATCTTATTCTAAAGAGAGGTGACATAAATGGAAGATGGAATGGGGAAAGAAAAGAAAGCAAGAAAAAAAACCAGGCAAGGATTCTTAACCCACAGTTTCTCTAACAGTGCAATGTAGGTATCATACTGTGATGTTGCTTGCTGTTTTATATGCATAATATCAAAGAGAGAAGAACTGATAGAATGGGCTTTCTTCCTTTCTCTTCATGTGATGGAACATCTGCTGTTGATAGCCCTGAGAGAGAAAATACTCATGGTCTTTTTCTAAATACTATTAAAATTGTACTTTCATTTTATGATTGAATGGCAGCAAAGCTAAACTCTTTTTGGAGTTGTCTGTATGTATAAAATAAATAATTACTTCTTGACATTATATACTGGCCTGTCAGGTAGATGTTTAAAGTTTCCCGAACACAGTAGGATGGAAATATTGATTTATTCTTCCAAACCCACATCTTTTTAACAGAATTTCAAACTACAAAATTATTCAGCATTCAAAAATTACTCCCTTTGAAAAAGACAATTGGAATTGGAAAATCAAATGCCAAATATATAATAGAAAGATCAAATAAAACAAAAGAAACTGTACCGTATAATTCATGGGTATATCTATTTAACAGAACATGTCTGTATTCATATAGGACTAGTGGGTCAGAGAAAAATGGAGAAATGTAGCAGAGAAATAGAACAGTTTTAATTTTCTCTGTAATTCTTCATACTGTCTGAATTCTGGCACATTCCCCATCTGTGTGCTTCAAATTGTTGCTCACTGGTTGGGAAAGAAATTATCCATTTAATGGAATCTGATTAATTTCCTCTGGAAATTTTAAAGTCACAAGCTGGGAGGTGCCTTTTATTAATGTGGACCATTTGTTTATCAATAGCATTCAGCACTGGCAGAAATCCAAGCAGTCCAAGCCAAGTTCATATCCTTCCTCTAGGTCATGTGAAAAGTCATAGGATTAGATGGCTAGATCTGGAATGTATCTTAACATTCTCTCTCATACTTGTCTTTTAGCAAAACATAATATGGAGCTATGAGACTGTGTGTTGTTTATGACTATTTTTCCATAGGCAGGAGCTGTATTACAAGTTAACTTGAAAGTATAGTCACCCAATTTTTCTGGAGCTAATGAGATAAGTTAATTAATTGCACACAATTCTGATTTGGCTCCCCAGGCAGAGATTGGAACTTGGTGCTCCCAGATGGAATAATGAAAGCTGGTGTAGTGCAGGGGTAAAGTGGGGCAGCCCAGAAATTCCATAATAAGTACATAATCCATACGTACTGCATAGCAATTGATATTATAAATTTTTTTTATAAAGCTACAGCCTGAATTGCCAGAAACGTTAAAAAGTGCTATTAATGCTTAGGTGCTGATTTTTAACAAGAAATAATAAAAGACAAAACTGCCTCAATTTCCCAAGTAAAAGCAATGGAAGAAATAAAAACAACAACAACAGTCGAAGAGCTGGCAGCTGTGATTGCTCATTGTTTGGTATATAATAATAATAATATCTGCTGCAACAATACCTTTAACACATTTAAACAATATCTCCCTATCCCAGGTTCTTAGGAAGGACTGGCTAGGTGGATAAAAATGTCACGTCCAGTCTAAATGTCTAGCTGACTGCAACCAACAATAATAGTAATAATAATAATATATTAAATGTGTATGTTGCCCAACTCTCAGTGGCTTCTAGATATTAGCAAAAATGTGTGTTTTTAAGAGAGGCTTTGATGTTTTCTTTTTGGTAAGTAAATATCTTATTAAAGAAAAAAAGAAAAATTCAGCATTTGGTTGATCACTGTGGCAGCAGAGTATTAAGTTAGATTGGTCTTGCAAGATCAAATCTGGATTGGTCACTGGGACCAGAGATTTACTCTTCCGAGCTTTCAGACTCATGCTGGAGCCCACCTTCAGGGGACTTCTCTCTACTGGAATATGTGCTTTGGCCTATAAGATTATTATTAGCTTGGTCTTAATTCTGATCCAGCAAAGTTTGGGGGTTGTTGCTATATAATTGACTATATTTATATGGACTTATTTAAACTAGGTCTAGATGGAGTTTGTTTTTTATCTTTTGTCTCCACAGTGAACGTATTAGCATGAGGCAATCGAAAGTGGATAAGCTGTATGCAGGCCTGAAAGACCTTGCTGAGGAGAGGAGGGGCAAGTTGGACGAGAGACACCGGCTATTCCAGCTGAACCGTGAGGTGGATGATTTGGAGCAGTGGATAGCGGAAAGGGAAGTGGTGGCTGGATCTCACGAACTGGGACAAGATTATGAGCATGTGACAGTAAGTAGCCTGGAGTCTTAGTTCCTTTCTTTTATTCACTGTATGGTAATGTGCAAGATTGGAAAATATAGTTTATATATACAAAATTGTAATCAAAGCATAAATACAATAAAAATGCTAATATAAAAATATTAAAAGCACTCTGACAAACTCAAACAGTTTTCCAGCACTAATGCCCAAAGCCTATGCAAGACTTTATTTGGTTTCCACAAGGAGAATATCAGAGATGGAACTAGCTAGGCATGAAGCAATCTTGCCCAATTCAGCAAACAGAATGCATTAGCTAATATGTAGGATAAAAGCTGCTTAGTGTATTTCAACTTGCATTCTATTGTTGTTAATTGCTTTGAATGTCATATGTAATGAAAAGCAGAAAAATATGGTGAGTATTTTTGAGCCACAGAAATTAATTTAGGAGTCAGAATATATAGTGGGATGATGAGAGCACTGGCTACTTGTTATAGAGGCACGATTGAGAGCGTTTTAACAAGTGCATCACTGTTTGGTTGGTGGCAGCAGTGCCTCAGATAGAAAGTCCATTCAGAGTGGTAAGGACAGCTGGGATGATTATAGGAAGCTCGCTTCCTGTCATTCAGGATATTGCTTATAAGCACTATATGCTTAGGACTCAAAGTGTTGTTAGAGACCCCGCACACCCACTTCACGGTCTATTTCTGTTGCTTCTCTCGGGGAGAAGGTTTTGAAGTATTTTTAGTAGGACTTCCAGATTCTGTAACAACTTTGTTCCCTATGCCATCCATCTGGTAAACTTGCAAGATTCTCTTGCCATGTACATGTATACATCCGAACCAGACTGTGTTGTTTCTCTGTGTCATATAATATATGTGGCTACATGCATAATTTTGTATGTATGTATTTATTTATCTTGTGTTTATGTTTATATTAGAGGTGAGAACTGTATGCAATGTAATTTCATTTTAATGTATGCTGATTAGTATACATTCAAAGGGACAATAAAGTTATTCTAAGTCTAAGTTTAAAATATGTTACATATGACACAGTTTTGCTTTATTGACATCCATTTCCCCTTTGAATATAACTTTATCCAGTATATTATTAGTTGGGCAGTAAGCTTTGTGTGTTTATGCTATATCCTCCTCCAGTTTATCATTTTGATCCAAGGCTTATTTACACAAGCAATCTTTTTCTCCCAGATGTTGCAAGAGAGATTTCGTGAATTTGCCCGAGACACTGGGAATATTGGACAGGAACGTGTTGATACTGTCAATCGCATGGCTGATGAACTCATTAATTCTGGACATTCTGATGCTGCTACTATTGCTGAGTGGAAAGATGGTCTCAATGAGGCCTGGGCTGACCTCTTGGAACTCATTGACACAAGAACACAGATCCTTGCGGCCTCTTATGAACTACACAAATTTTACCATGATGCCAAGGAGATCTTTGGACGAATACAGGATAAACATAAGAAGCTTCCTGAGGAACTTGGGCGGGATCAAAACACAGTAGAAACCCTGCAAAGGATGCATACAACATTTGAACATGACATTCAAGCCTTAGGAACGCAGGTATGCATATTAAGTAAACGTTGTATTCCTTTAAAATTGAAGAGCTTGTAGCTTGCATGGCTTTGGATTCAGGAAAGGAGAGTTCAGGTTTTTCAAATTTGTCAAAGTTCTCTTCATTGTTTTCTATTCTTGATTTTTACATCTTCCATGTGTTTTTCTGCAGTTCAAAGCCTTATAATAATAAGAAATTTTAGTTTCTTTGTATAATTATTATCAGAGAATTCACTGCAAAAAGATATGACAGTGATTATCAAGAAATCAGTAACAGAAAACAGACAGGTTGATCAGCCTAATATTTACGTTGATCCATTTAGAAAATTCAAATAAATACCAGCTGCTAAAGAGGAATAGTGAGAAATAGCAGTTGTTTTCAAACTCTGTGGCAGCATGAAGGAATTCATTTAACCAGTCTTTATAAATGCTTGGAATTGATGGATGTTTGGGTAGACTCAGTCTTATTATTTTATGTATATTATTTGATTGATTCTTAAGGCTACCCACTCTTCAATGACTCTGGGAAATTTGCAAGCAATTAGAAACAATACGAATTACAAAATATTAATAAAGAAACACACTGGGGAGGCATTAGTTTCTACCATGTTACAGATTTATTTATCTGTTTATCTTCTATGCCTTCCATCTCTCTATCCAAAGTGAGTCTGGGCAGCTTAAAGCACGTAAGAGGATCCCTGCTGAATTAGAACAAAAACCCACATTATCTAGTATTTTGTATCATTCGGTGGTCTGTGAATGCATTTGGGAAGCTCACAAACATAAGAAGATTATTAGACCACTTCTACCATTGCTTCCCAGCAATTAATATGTAAAGTATCCTACTTATATTTTGGCAGGTAATACAAAGCTATTAAAACTAGCAGCCACTGATAGAACCATAATCCATGCATTTGTCTAGGCCTATTTTGATGGCAGAAAACTCCATAATTTTATCTATTTGTTGTCTTTTTTTGGCACATGGAAAATATTCATGCTAGAATAGGAACTTGATTTGTTGGTGGGTGCTGAAAAGAGCTCTTCAAAAGAAAATAAATGCCATGAAGTTCTTCAGGGAGGATTGTCAATTATAACTTTCATAAACTAGCTGGGCATTCTCTAGAAGTTTCCTTGATTTTTTAAACTTTTTTTCCCTTTAACATACCGCTATGACTTATCAAATTTGCAAAGGATGATTTTAATATGATTATGATTAATAATATTTTTAATAAAAAATGATTTTAAGCTGCTTTTTGGTTGAGGACTTTAATTTTTAAAAAGAGACAATAACTAATAGATAGGAGGGGGGGAAGGACTCCAATATCTACCTCCAGATATTTTCCAAAAATATCTAAGAAGTTAAAAATTGGATCTTCCCATTCACGTGTGCATGTTTGGCATGGGGAACCAAGGTTTGGTAGTAGTGGTGGTGGTGGTATTTCAGAACTTATAGAGGGAGACTTTTAGTTCTGCCTCTGTCCGTACAATTTTTAAATGGGGCCAGAATGTATTTATTTATATGTAATTAAAGAGTATAGTGGAAATATTAATTTAAACCCCAAAGCACAATAACAAGGAAATTTGATTAATGTACTGCTGAGCAGGACTCAACTCATATAATTTCATGAATTGTTTAAATCTAGCACATTTACCTATTTTTGCTGAATGGGGACATAATAATTTTGCACTCTGTCATTAGAAATTATCAGTTCAGTATAACATCCAAGTTTTAATTTATATATTGCCAGTGTGACTGGGTAATTTCAAAATACAAACGAAACTTGGTGTTTAGATTCAAGTCTTGTTTTTTTAAAAAAATAAAAGGAGATACTAATTATCAGATTCTCCAGATTCTCTGTCCTCAGTAGTTGCAGTATAAATAAAGCCCCAATTATGAATCTATTGCAGCAAAGCATGTTGATAAAGAGGTATTTATAATCATAAGTATTTGCCTACAAAATTGTTTTGACTGATTTGTTTCAATTTTTTCACATTAGGTGAGACAACTCCAAGAGGATGCTGCCCGCCTTCAGTCTGCCTATGCTGGGGACAAGGCTGATGACATCCAGAAACGGGAAAATGAGGTTTTGGAGGCATGGAAAGCTTTGCTAGATGCCTGCGAAGGACGCAGGGTAAGGCTAGTGGATACTGGTGACAAATTCCGTTTCTTCAGTATGGTCCGTGACCTCATGCTTTGGATGGAAGATGTAATTCGTCAAATTGAAGCCCAAGAAAAGCCAAGGTAAGCAGGACTAATATGCAGAGGCTATAGGTGTTTCATAGCAGTACAGAGGATTGAGCAGTATAGATGACATCTATCTTGCATTCTGAAATCATTATAATATTCAGGTTTAATTAAATGAATTCAAATCCAAATTTAATGAAGAACATAATGGGGCACTTATTGATGTAGGAGTTCTGTTTGAAGGTTGTGGACTTGCACATGCAGACGTAGTTCTAAAGAACTGAAGCATTTAGTACAGTTTAGGTAGTCAGGATTGTAATTCAAATCCCTACAGAGCATGCTTGGGTAAAAAGTGCCAATTACAGTCTAAGAAACGAGTCACAAAATGCGAAATTAGGTAATAAACCATTCAAAGAGTCATAGAATGATGAGCAAGAAGCAGGAACAAGAATCACAAACAAAGCAAAGCTACTACTGTAGTTAGACAACTAACTACAAATACTCATGCCTCATCCTTTGACTAGCAACGAGCCTCATTGAGGAGTGTTATTCTGCCCCCCCCCCCCCCCGACCTGGGGCTTAGGGGTCATGCTTTGTCATTGATTGCTTCAGCTGAAAAGAAGGTGCCTGTAACTGATCAGTCTCAAATGAATTCTGGCTTAATGATTCCTCTGGTCGGCAGTCCTGAAACTGACAATCCACAAGCTCAACTGGAACAACATTGTAGAAGTCAAGATCAGAGTCAGATACCGGAACATGGCTCATACATAGCACAAGGTTTCTATTTGTAAAGTAACAATTGAGGCAAAAAATATACTACCTCGGAATGAAATTGGTCTCTCTGATAACAGTGAGACATAAAATCAAAGAGTATACATTTTTTTTCACGTGGACAAACAAGTGCTTTTACAGCTATAAAAGGCCAACAAGATTTCTAGGTTCACAATTTTGCCTATTGCTTCAACAATAATTGCGCCTTTTCTATTTGACTTGGAGAAACTGGAATAGATTTTGTTCTTTTATAGTTGGTTTTCCAACTTAACTGCAGGATACAGAATCAGAGTTAGGACTGCAGGTAATCCTCACTCAACGACAGCAATTGGAACTGGAATTTCCCATTGCTAAGCAGTGCAGTCAAAGCATAATGCCAATGATTGCATTGCTTAGCACCAGCAATTCTGGAAGTCCCTATTGCCATAATTAGGATTATGGTGCCAGTTCTGAATGGATATTGTCCCAAATGGAGGTAGGGGGCAAAATTGTGTAACAGTGAGTTCCACATTTAAGATGAGATAGTTAGCTTTTAACATATATGGCTGTTAAAGCAAAATAGGATTAAATAGAGCCAAGCAAGCATAACTCAGAAAATGGATTGCTGTTGTCTGAAAGAAAGAATGAGGCCTCCAATATAGCTTAGCTCCTGTACAGTCTTTTTTATAGGTTTTAAAACATATTTGGTATTTGAATTTAAAATTACCAATATTTTATTTTAGGGATGTTTCTTCTGTAGAACTGCTGATGAATAATCACCAAGGGATCAAAGCAGAAATAGATGCCCGAAATGATAGCTTTACAACCTGCATTGAGCTTGGTAAATCATTGCTGGCAAGAAAACACTATGCTTCAGAAGAGGTACTGTGTGCTTTCTGAGTACGGAGAGATAATTTTGCAAAGAATGCATAAAAACTGCTATGTTAAATCCAAGAACCTACCTTTGCTCATTGAAACTTATTCATATCATTCACCTTCAATGTTATGTAGGCTTATACTGAATTTGTCCCTCAATTCATTTAACTATGTTTATATTTCATATTTTCAGAGTTTATCAAATTTGTTTAAAAGAATTAAAATTAAAAATAATAACTAAATTATGGGGAAAAAAGCTTTCAGGTTGTCATCTCAACCATCAATGAAAATATTTTCAGCTAATAATGAAAATGCAACTCAACAATAATAACATAACAATCCAGCAACAGCAGCACAAAGTGCTTCAAACCAGATTTTACCACAGTAAAATAGTTTTTGCTTACTAAGACATTATCATCTATCCATCTATCTATCCCCCTTTCCCACTTGCAAACATAAGTACCAGTAGCCCTTAACAACCACAACTGGGACTTGCAACTCCATCACTAAGTGATGCAGTCATTAAGTGAGATACTTAATATCTCATGACTGTGTTGTGATTTTACTGCCAGCTTTTTTACTGACTCTGATCATCAGAAGTTGGTTGTGAAGCATGCAAATGGTGCTCATGTGACTGGGATGTTGTAAATGCCTGCTGGTTGCAAAGATCCAAATCTTAGTCACAGGACTGTAGAGATGCTGCAATCATAAGTGGAAGAACCATTTGTAAAGTTACTTTTTCAGCACTGCTGTCACTTTAATTGGGCATTCTTTAAGTAAGGATTATCTGTAGTTTGAATTGTGCTCACACTTAATAAGAAGCTAGCTGCTGAAGTACTAGTAAAATATGCCCCTATACCTTTAGAATACAGATAGTCCTTAGCCTGTTATAGTGATCTTTTGTAACTATGACTGTGCCAAATGAATGGTAGTTACAATTGGTCCTCAGAGTTCTGCCCATCCCAGTATCCTCTGCAATCGTGTGATCATGATCTGAGTGATTGGCAGTTGGGTCATGCCTACAATCTGTTGCAGTGCCCTGTGGTCATATGATTACCATTGCAATTCTTTCCTCCCAGTTTTCCTACATCAAGTCTTCCACAACTGTGCACCAAGTCTGTGCTATACCAGTCACTTGTGCATTCTCCCCCAACCCATGCCACACCTCTCATTCACCCTCCCTGACTGGCGCCACATTTCTAGTGCACACCATTGCATCCTTGCACACTTTCCCCATGCCAAACCTCTCCTTGACCCTCCCACCTCTGTACACTTCCCTCTGACTTGTGCTGTGTCTCTCCTAACTCATTAACACCCTTCTTAACTCATTCCATACTCCAGTGTACCTGCTCACACTCTGCACCTTCATACGCTGTCCATGACCTTCCCTCAAATCCTTGCTCAGCCTCCTTGACCCTCTCAATCCATGCATTCCTTTGCTTCCTCCCTCACCTGGCAACAGCCACATACTTGCCTGCCAGTCTAGGGCTTGCAATTTCCTGCTAGCTTCCCCACTGACTTTGGTTGTTGGAAGCCAGCAAGTAATTGTCTCACCTAATGGCCATGGGGTTCAGTTAACAGCAACAGTTAATGTGATCACAATTTATGACTGCACTGCTTAGCAACAAAAATTTTAATCCCCGTTGCTTTTATAAGATGTAGTGGAAATTAAATATAATCCAATCCACAGAGTTAATGCACCTGGTGAAATAAAACATTTTAAGCTTTATTGCTAGAACGGTGTAAGTGAAGTTCTATATGGAATTCCAAAATGTAGTAATTTATGTTGAAGGCCATTTTCCCACTTGCTACTGTTAAAAGTAAGATTGATTCATTATTTTGTTTATTCATTTATTAAATGTATTGGTCATTATTATTGGCTCTGGGTTCTAACTGTATTATCACAAGAGTGTTGTGGCAGTAATGCTGGTTAATTTCTTATGGTGGTTAGGAACCATGTTATAATTAGTTACAAAATTAATAAATCTATAATAAATCTATACATGATACTGATTTCCATTTTAAACATTTCTTTTAGATAAAAGAGAAGTTACTGCAATTGACAGAAAAAAGAAAAGAAATGATTGACAAGTGGGAAGACAGATGGGAGTGGCTGAGATTGAGTAAGAATCCCATGTCTGCCTTTTTATAATGGATCTCTCTCCATCCATCTCTCCCCCCCCGTTCTCTTTTGAAGAGTTGTGGTTTCCATGAATTGTATTTCAGATTGCATGGTTACAAGTGATTGTTCCTCCCTCCCTTCCTCCCTCCCTTAAAAATAGTTATTAATGCTGGAAAGTTTATGATTAAAACAAGGATTGTGGCAGATGTTCCTATTAGCCAGAGCCTACTTCAACAGGTTGAAGGATAAACAGTAGAAAAACATTTATAGTATATGTAAGTAAATATATAAATTAAAACAAGAATAAAAAACTCTAACACTAAAAAAAAGATTATCCAAATGTTTTCATATTTGCTCTAATTTTTGTGGCAATCATACCTAAGGTCCTGAAAGAGAAAAGAGATATGCACATATCGTATCACAGCAAGAGGTTTTTTTAAATGTACCCTTGGGACTGGCCATGTTGTTGGAGACTGCTGGGGGTTATAATTCAGTACTATGTGGAAGATTACAGTTTTCCCCATCCCTGTGCTATAGTATAAATTATAAAACATGTACTAGTTCTGAACATGGTATGTTTCTGACTTTTACTTAGTTCTGGAAGTACACCAGTTTTCAAGGGATGCCAGTGTTGCCGAGGCCTGGCTATTAGGACAGGAGCCATATTTGTCAAGTCGTGAAATAGGGCAAAGCGTGGATGAAGTGGAGAAGCTCATCAAGAGGCATGAAGCCTTTGAAAAATCAGCCGCAACTTGGGATGAAAGATTTTCAGCACTTGAAAGACTTACCACGGTAGGTCACAAGACCCAAATCAGATGTTTTTCATGATGATTACCTGACCTAATTAATCACATGAATCAATAATCAAGGATCAGCAATATTTTTTGAACATAATTAACATAATAAAAACAATATGTCTGAAGTGAGCACAGTTAGTGCTTTGAAATATATGTTTACATTGCATTAGAAGGAGAAAACACATCGCCACAAAATGGCACCCACAGAACCTTAATCTTTATATAAATTCAAGTTAAAATGGCTGGAATCTTGCAAAATGGCAGTGTAATTACTGCAGTGTTATTGCAGGAAAGCTCATAATAGTTTTAAGGAAGAGATCCTGACATTTGGCAAACTCTTAAGATTTTTGCCAGTACTAACCCTAACCCTACAGGTAGTCCTCAACTTATGACCACAATTGAGCCCACAATATCTATTGTTAAGTGAGGCAGTTGTTAAGTGAATTTTGACCCATTTTACAACTTTTTTGGGTATAGCTGTTAAGTGAATCACTGCAGTTAAGTTAGTAACAAGGTTATTAAGTAAATCTGGCTTCCCCATTGACTTTGCTTGTCAGAAGGTTACAAAAGGGGATCACATGACCCCCGGGACACAACAACTGTTTTAAGTATGAGTCAGTTGCCATGCATCTGAATTTTGATCACATGACCATGGGGATGCTACAATAGTTGAAAGTGTGAAAAGATCCCTTTTTTTCAATGCCATTGTAACTGAATGGTCACTAAATGAACTATTGTAAGTCGAGGACTACCTGTATCTTAAAATAAGCATTTCTTCTTGTATAAAAAAAAAAGATTAGTAATATCCTGTTTAAAATAATTATAGCTTTTTAAAAAGTTTACACATGTTAATTAAGACACTGAACTTGCATTGATTATAAATTAGCACAACTGTGGATAAATTTTTACAGTATCTTTTACTACTGCAATAAATAGCCTTCATCCTAATTGATCCTAGGGTATATAAGAGTTATGAAAAGACTGATACATATTATTAATACAGTACTATAAACAGTCAAACTTCATCATTAATACAAATCAATTGCATTTTTTTAAAAAAGATTAAGATTTAAACCAGCTTTGACAATGTCTTGCTAAATCAATACACTTGAACCTGATGTTGGAATGATGGCACTGTCAGGACCAAACAGCATTGCAAAGATTGGGTAAATAAGCTTAGGTGGCTCATAATCTTTGCATCTTCTCACCCTGCCAAAAGAGAAAAGAATGAGGTTTCTAAAGCTGTTTTTTAGTTCAGATTAAAACCTGAGCTGGAAATGTGAAAGCAACAGCAGTGGCTTGTCCTTCCTATGCAGAGTGCTTCATCCCTTTTCCATCCCATTCCATTTCTTCCAATGACTTTTTCCTGAGGAGGATGGGGGGAAGGAGCTAGGCCACTTTAAATGTCAGGAAATACGATCTAATGGTTCATGGGAAGTGTACTTTTCCCTACTTGAAGTATCTAGGGCATTAAAGTTACAGAAATTGGATTATTCAGTTGGAATACATTGATTTATTTTCTATCTTGCATCTGGGAATAGCCTACAACAACCTAGCTATTATGTCTGATATGGGAGATGAGGAGGCTCACCTTTCACTGCCTTGGCTTAATAGGATAAGAAATTAAATTTGTGAATGAAAGAACCCTCATTTATTGCTTTCTTGAATCTTCTCTGCTTCTGCAATCTCATTCCCTTCCCTCTCTTCCAGTTGGAATTGTTGGAAGTACGTAGACAACAAGAGGAAGAGGAGCGGAAAAGACAGCCTCCTTCCCCAGAGCCAAGCCCCAGAACTGGGGAGGAGTCTCAATGGTGAGTATCTGGAAAAGAATATGATGTAACACAAAGGTGAACCTAAAACCACGTATAAAATCTCAGTTAAGGGGTTTTTTTGGATAGCTAGCTGTAGGTGAATATTTTTAATAAATATTAATTGATTGGAGCTATATGCAAATGCATCACTAAGAGAATACTTCAATGTAGAGTTAAGCAATCTTTAGGTGACCAAGAGCCCTACTAATCAAGGGACTCAAAGGCAACAAAGTTGATGATTCAATATCATACATCGTAGTAGGGAACTCCCTTTGAGGTTATTTTCCACAGTGAAGACCTAATTTAATATCTACGCTACAATTTTCCTATACCGTATTTTTCGGAGTATAAGACACTCTGAAGTCTAAGACACACCTAGCTTTTGGGGAGGAAAACAAGAAAAAAAATCTGCCTCCCAGCAATTTGCCTCCTTGCAGCAAACAGCAAACAGCCTGGTCAGCTTCAGCACAGCCTGATTAGCATGAGCAGCTGATTGTCGGTTGGATCGGCTTCCTAATGATCAGCTGTTTCAGGCTGCAGAGATCATCATTGCCTTTTGCTGCCTCCATGCGGCCCACTTTCAGCCTCCATTCCATTTTCAGCCTCCGCACACCCTGTTTTCAGCCTCCATATCCCGTTTTCAGCTTCCGCGTGTCCCATTTTTGGCCTCTGTATCCTGTTTTCAACCTCTGCACGTCCTGTTTTTGTCCTCTGCATGCCCCATTTTCAGCCCGTTCCAGGGGGTGGAGATCACATTGGGTGGAAAATGGGGCATGCGGAGGCTGAAAATGGGGCGAGTGGAGGCAGAAAATGGGATGCAGAGGCAGAAAATGGGGCACGCAGAGGCAGCAATAATCAATGGCAATCCCAGCAGCCTGAAAAAGCTGATCGTCGGGAGGGTGATCCTTCTAACAATCAGCAGCTTGTACTAATCAGGCTGTGCTGAAGCTGACCAGGCTGTTTGCTGTTTGCTGTTTGCTGCAAGGAGGCAAATTGCTGGGAGGCAGAGGCCGAAGGGTGGAAGCCGGTGTGTGGGCAGGGCTTCGGCAACATTTGCTGTATAAGACATAGAGACATTTCCATCCATTTGGGGGGGTGTGGAAAAAGTGCGTCTTATACTTCACAATAGTTGTTCTGGGGGGAGGCAAGTTCTTCTCTGAAAATATTCTGCTTTCCATATACTGCACAAATCAGTATATGAAAAGAAAAGTAAAAAAAAGGAATAAAATATAATCTGTCTGGGAGATCAAGATGAAAGACAATTCAAAATAAAAGTACACCTTCCAAAGATTTAATAAAGTGATAATCAGAGTGCATTGCATTACATTTTGAGCTCTTGACAGGTTTAAGCAGATATCTTGGTTAATTAAAAGTAACTTGTCTTTTGTATTACCTTTCACTCTTGGTTTCTTTATCTTTTCTACAGGGATGGCACAAAAGAACAGGTTGCCCAGAATGGTTTGCCACCAGACCAGGAATCTCCCCGGGTTAGTTACCGTTCTCAAACCTACCAAAAGTACAAAAACTTTAATAGTAGATGGACAACTAGTGACCAACCACAATCTGGACTCTGAGGTGCAAAGCAGTCTGCGAAAGACCGTTGGCTGCTTTTTCTCCTGTTTCCCCTTGTTTTATTTACTTTCAAGTTCTTTCACTGCCTCTCTCCCACACCTTCAAGTTACCAAGCTTTATTTAACCAATAGCCACCACACACTGAATATATACATACATACATACATACATACATACATACATACATACATACATACATACATACATACTCATTCCTTGAATTTAATATTTTAGATGCTGTCAGATATTTGGTTGCATTGCTTCATTGTTTTTGTTTCATTATCTCTTATTGTGAGATTTTCAGTTTGTTAAAAGCTTTGAGACTTTTTGCAGTTCAAGCCACTTCTTTATGTGAGTAATTGAAATGTAATGAAATCTCATCAAAATGGAAGACAAGAAGTAGAATCCGACAGGTATGATGCTTCTAGCTATACTAACAGGTTTGAGAGCAAAATGCTGGCAAAACAGCAGCATTGTCCCCAAACAGTATGAATGTCCTTTCTGCAGAGGAGACAGGAGGAGGAATTAAACAAGGTAGAAGCACCTGGCTATGGCTATACTATCTAGAGCAAGAATGTCAAACTGGCAGCCTGTGGGCTGGATGCGTCACGTGCAGGCCACACCCAACCCAGCTCCGCAAAGTGGAAAAACATGAAACATCACATGAGGGCAACGTGATGCCACGAGTTTGACACCCGTGATCTAGAGGTTAATATCAATTGACATTCCAAGCAAATGATATCATGAATCAACAATAAAAGCTAAATAACAGATTGTTCTGAAATTAGCAGTAACTACCTAACAACTGGATCGATTCTGATTTCACATTACCTCTGCAAGGATTCCTTGAGATATTAATGCTTCAATTTGCCTTATATAGAAATGGAATTAAGCTTGGGAGTATAGAAATATCAAACTTGATCCTAAATTCTGTTAGCATCTAGGTCCTAGTACAGTCAGTGAGATTACACAAAAGATTTCTCTCTCATTAGTTGAATATGGGCCTGTATTCAAGGCACAATGGGCATGCTGATTACAGTGTAACAGATAGGGGCTACTTTCACATTTTATTTTCAGAGTAAACATTCAGCTTAATGAACCATCACATGAATGACCTGCTGCAAATAGAGACCAGGAAGGAAAGGTTTTATGACATCTAAACCTGAGATCATACTTAGATACATCTGTACAGGCTAGGATTTATGGTGTGTTTGGCAGTTCCTGGACTTAGTGGTTTTCATGTACATGTTTTATACCAAACTAGATAACATCTTTGCTAGGACTTGTTGGCTAGAAATCCCTGATTAAAAGCTGGTTTACGATTCTTGTTTGCATTCTCTGATCATCTCAGGATTGGATGTGATTAAACCTAGCTTTGTTTATGGCTCAACTTTTATGCATTCTCAAAATGTAGATGATCATGTTACACTAGCGTATATCAAAAGTTATTTAACCAAAAGTTTTGACTCAAGAGATCAGTGACTTTTCCAGAAAAATCAGAGCTGTTTATGCCTTATCACTCAGATCAAGTCTTGCCACAAGAGCTCTTTCAAGCTGAAATCATGAGCACACCTTATGAAGGAATAAATCTCAGTGAAAGCAGGGCCTTTATTTGAGAAAACAAGTACTGTCTTTCAGGATCGATGCTTTGTGCAACTATAAAAAATTAAAATTTAAAATTATCCTTTTTTCAATGTTTAGCTGCATATATATATATTTCTGCACTCAGTTTTTATTTCTCCTTGTGCCATGTAAGTTAGGCCAAGGGAAGGAACATGACATTTCTTTTCATATGTTCATATGAAATAGATTTTAGTTGAAGGAGGTCTTGGCTATATCTATGGCCATATTCTTATGGAAGAGAGAAGAGACAAGAATAAGATTGACACTTTCGCTCTTAATCCATATTCCTCTACACAGAAAGTGTGACATATAAGAAGACTATCATGAAGAATAGAGGGAAGAAATAAGATGTATAGTGAATGAAAATTTTATTTGGTTGAAGTTATGTAAAATAATTTGGAGCTGGCTCCAGCATTAGAGAGAGTGAGGCAATGTTCTTACAAAAAATTTAGTTAATCTGTCCTTAAATTATTTTAAAAAGAAGCAATGGAATATTGTATGTGTACTAAAGTTATGACTATTATATTGGTATATAATGCTACTCCAGAAATTTGGACTTATCCATAGTAGTCCTAGCCACTTTTTTGTGAAATCTGCGGTAAAACATCTCATTGGAATCCAATTATTGCTTTAAATTAACATCAGAAAGCTACATACACATGCTGAAATGCAAAGTAATTCTATTCGTTTTATTCATCTATTCATTTTGTTTTAACTGTGTTTCATTTTCTTAGTGAACACAACTGATTTTAATGAAAGCCAATCAAAAACATTTTGCTGACCCTCATAAAGCAAACTCCTTCTCAATTCAAATTATATAGCAGCCAAACCCAACCACGTTATTTTGGCATATAAGGCTGACAAAATTATCCTATTCTCCATTCATTATACTGAAATACAATACTATGAATGATTTTCAATTTGCTATATTTTGATGGCTTCTAATCTGTTAGAGGTATTTGTTTCAGTATCCTTAATGGTAGAGCTGGAAACAGTTAACAAAATTTGCTAAAGATCATTAATTCTTATTAAATAATGTGCAATTATTAATGTATTAAAATATTTTATTTTGTAAACCAGATTATGGCATAGTAGATGAATGGTTTCTATAGATAGATGATAGATAGACCATTAATAAAGATTGGCATAATGTATTCCCTTTCAGTCGCCTTTATTTCAGGAAGCATTTCATTTGTAAACTTTACAACTATAGAGTAGTTTCCAACAATTATCTTTAACAAACTCTGGTTATCTTTTGTCATGTGGAAGGATTAAAATAATATCTGGCAGAATTTGTGAAAAGCAGGAAAGCTTGGATGTATACTTTAATACACTTTTGTTTTTATTATCATGCACATCTCTTCTTTTCTCTTATCAGGATATCGGCATAAAGCTTCTTAATTTTTTATGTAATTCAATGGTTTTTTTAAATATATTTTGCTCTTCTGTTTTACTTACTGTTTGGTCTCTGCCCCTCAAAGTGCATTAAAGAATGTGGTAACTAGAAGTGCATTCTAGTCACAAGTGTCTAAGAGGCATTTAGCTTCAAAATTATTGGCTATATATTAAATAGAAAACTAATACAAACTATATCTGATCTTAATCTCAGAGAGAGATGCTTCAGTTCTCTCCATTAATCATGGGTTATAATTTGGTAAAAAAAATACATTCAAAATTAAGTTGATTGTAAAAATTGTATGGGTTACATTTCATTACCACAACTCTCTTCATTATTCATCATCTACTGAGACAGAGGCTCAGAAGGAAAAAGACAATGCAATACTTATTCATGCACTTTGAAAGCAAGGGAGAGATATCACTCTCCCCCTCCTACTACATCATATAGTCAGAATTTGCAAACCTGAAGAAGATGCTGACCACTAAATTGACTTGCGATTAACCTTCCAGTGATGAAAATGTGTATTCATAACATGCCTATGTCCCATCTGTTTTGTTGTTGTTGTTAACCCTTAGCACCCATGGTATTGTCTTTGCATGCTCAGAGCATGTTTCTATTAAAAGTTTATTTAGTTCCATTCTTTACCCTCCACCTTTTTGTTGTTATGCATAGTTTGCCTATAAGTTTATATGTTCGGGAGTATTCTGTTAATGATTCAAAGCATTTAATTAAAAAAAATAGGCCATAAAAATATCTGTCACTGAAAAACAGTTAGAAAACTTTTTCAGTGCCTAAGACTTCAAGGCATGCCTGCAGTAGCCTCATCTACACCAAGACAATTTCTTCACTACCTTGGGTATGCCTGTCCAGACAATCAAGCTACTTTGCTAGCAACTATAGCTCAAGAGTAAGATCTATAATGATGATTATTTAAATGGCAGAACTGTCACAACTGGAGATCAGCTGTTGAATTAACAACTATGCAACAGCTCCCAGTTTTGCTTACAGTTTCACTGTCTGTGATGTAGATGGAGGGTTAAGAGGCTAACAGTACTATGATAAAAGGAAAAAGTATTTTATTTTATTTTCTTTTACAAACATTTTAACTTTTCCCACTTTATGGAATCTAATTGGGACAGTTTCTATAATTTTCTCTGCTTTTATTGCCTGCTCTGATTTAATTGACACTTAATTTTATTCAAAATCTGCTAAGTAAATTAAATATTAAATATTCTCAAGGGAGCATTTGTTCCATTCCTTAATGCTAGGGAAATTCATAGTAAGTTTTTCCAATTCTTCAAAAGAAACCACTTTCTCACACTCAGAGAAATAGACATAAATATGGGGAGAGTAACTATATTAAAAAGCATTCATATTTATCCATATTTTTGTTTGGTTCAATAGATGGATTATAGACTACAAGTAATTAGCTCTTTTAAGGGAAAATTTAATATTTTAGAGATAAAATTCAATGTTGGAGCCTGGCTGAGTTTCAGAATTGAGAATTCTGTTTAAAACCAATACGTTGCTCTATTTATGAATTTGGAAGGTTTGGACAAAAGATATTCGATGAAAGCTAGATGTTAAAGGCTTCAAGGTGGTTTACAAGTTCTGGACAAACATGTCACTCAGTACAGTTTATCCCACCAGGGTGTGAGTGTAACTTGGAAAAGTGACTTTATATTATGTATATATGTACTCCAAATGAGGATCCATTATTTCTAATGGAACTTTGTGAGATGTACACATATGGAGAGAGAGTTTACAGCCAAGATAGCATAGCTGAATCAGATGGGAGCCTAGTTGGCCTTTTCAAATTAGACCGTTTGTGTTTGTGTTTAACCCCCAAAATTTCAAGGCTTTTGAAAAAAGAACACATATATTGCCAAGTTCTAAAACTAAAATAATACAACCCAGTATAATTTGCAAATTGTGTTGGAACCGGTATGTTTTCTGATTGAAAACAGTAGGTGTTGGTATTGGGAGGAAAAGAGATATAATATTTATATAAATATTAATATTCCAAACTGGGTCCCCCAAATGGCTCCAAAGTGTAGAAATACAGGTAGTCCTCAACTTACAACAGTTCATTTAGTGACCATTGGAAGTTACAACAGCACTAAAAAGTGACTTATGACCATTTTTCACACACTTATGACCATTCTAATATCCCCATGGTCATGATTTACATTCAGATGCCTGACAACTAATCACATTTATGATGGATCTCAAAGACATGTGATCTCCTTTTGCAACCTTCTGTTAAGCACAGTCAATGGGGAAACCAGATTTACTTAACAACCATGTTATTAATTTAACAACTACAGTTATGCACTTAAAAATGTGGCAAAAAAGTCATAAAATAGGACAAAACTCACTTAACACATTTCTCACTTAACAACACAACTTGAGGATTACCTGTAATAATACAGAGTTTTAAAAGCAACTAATCTGTTTAAGCCAGTAGTAGAGGGATCAGATAGACTCACACCCTTATTTAGAGCATAATTTTACTGTACAGATGAAGGCTGGGAGGAAAAAATTGAAGGCATTCAATTCTTGTGTGACGGTGTTCTGTACTCTGAAACACTGGTAATCTTTGTAACTAGAAAATAAACCATGATGGAAGTTACCAGAAAGTTGATAACCACCTTTTACAAAAATCTAATCAAACAATTATAGCTAAACTGGCAAATGTATAGCTTGCTGCCTAATGATTTTGCTGCTTCTGTATTATCCCAGGCCTGGCTAAAGCAGCAAAAATGTTTGTAGTAATTATGCCCTTTCTGATACTTTGCTTGTTTCCAATATACAAATGACACAGAATGTTCATAATCTACTACTAGAGCATTGAGCAGTGCTAGGCTTTAACTTGCTAATAATTATCCCCACATTGCAGTATTGTAATCCTTTTTGGGCTGCTACCAATGGCTTTTTTGTGGCACAGAACTGAAAATCCCTAAACCTCAATAAATGTTATTTATCCCAACTGGAACCAAACCACCACTGTGAAAGATTAAAGCTTTCAGGATTCCGGTATAAATGATTTAGGGGAATGAAATGGCTGATGAAGACCTCAAGAAGTGACCAGTCAGAGCTGGCCCCTCCTAGGCAACTCAATTGCAACACAACGGGCAACATGACCAACAAAGCGAGTGATGGCCACAGCCTTGGTTCTGTCTTTGTTCGGGGGTAAATAGAAGTGTGATGTTGAGTGATTGTAGTGTTTTTTCTGGCTCCTTTAGCACCCAATCCACCCAATTCCAAAGTCCAGCGATTGTGACTTTGAAAAAAAATTAACATTGTAACTTTTGACTGATTGCATTCCACCTTCTTCCCTTTAAGCTTGTCTATCTTTGAAAATCCAAGTTCCTTAGAATGGTGGACATAATGAAAATGCATGCTATCCTCTTCACAATTTCTGCATGTTGCTTTCTGATTATGTTGGCAATTTGGGGATGGGATAGGACAGCATTCCTTAAACTGATGGTCTCCAGATTTCCTAAACTTTACTAGAAATAATAGTTGGGGCTTATGGGAGTTGGAACCCCAATAAACATATAGCAGATACTGTCTTGGGGAAGACTGAAATAGTAGTAGGGAATGGGTGGCTAATATGCGGAAACTAAGAGATGGTTCAATGCCAAATCAAGGTATTTTTTATCAATGTTGCTGACTATATTATTTCACTGGCTTAATATAAGAGTTACTGCACTGATTCAGCTACAGAAATTTTATTAATGAGTGAAACACAGCTGATACAAATCAGTTTGAGCTCCTGTTTCTTCTGCTCTCTCCCAACTTAAAAAAAGTGAGATTCTTACTGTTTCAAAGAAGTAAAAATATTAAATGAAGTGGCAACAATTCAGGGAATGACACATTTACCAGTTATCTCTCATTACCAGTTGTGGGATGGCAAAGAACATTCTCTATAGTCAGTAGTGAAGAAATCCTTGTTGGATTACAGTTTGCATTTGCTGGATCAAACTAAATCAGTAGTACCAAGTGCAGTAAAACTCTCACAGATGGGTTCTCTCCCTCTCATTCTTCATTGCTTCACTTCTACCAATTGGGTACTAATCTATTGATACCTTCTAATTCCTTTGGCCTCCTGTTGCTCCAGCTGAGTGTGAGAACAGTTTTATTGAGCAATCTAGGCTTTGGGATACCAAGTATACAAATTTTGCAACTGAACATTTAAGGCATTTTTTTAAAGAAACTTTTTTGTGATATCTTCTTATTGAGCAGCTGTTATAGTCTTACTCTTGTTTCTTAGATGGGAGAAGCAAGAGAAACCAATGAAATGGTCAATGGGGCAGCAGAACAGAGGACAAGTTCCAAAGAGACAAGTCCAGTTCCTTCACCGACAGGCGATCGCAAAGCCAAGACCAGCCTTCAGGCTCAAACTGCTGCCACTCTTCCAGCTAAAACACAAGAAATAGCTTCCGCCCAGATGGAGGGCTTCTTAAATCGTAAGCATGAATGGGAATCACACAGCAAGAAGGCCTCAAACAGGTATTTTATTGCAATTAACAGAGAAATTTTAAATATCTCAGATTTTATTTTGACCAAGCATCTCAAATCGGGTGACCTCCATGTGGGAATATATGCGTAGGTAGATTATTTGGCCCTGTAATCATGTGTGGTACAAGAGTTGGGCACAACACACTCATACATATGCACATTCGTCATGGATACATTCATTCCTTTCCTGTAAGGCTTCTTTCTCTTGCCCAGGAATCCTATTTCAAGTCAGCATTCCACCTCTAATAGCAGGAAAGTATAGTTTTCCTCCCAAGCTTCCTGCTTCTCAGCACCCCAATGGAACTTCTCCCCTTTCTTGAGCAGATTAGAAAGGAGAGCAGTCAAGGCAGCAAAGTGGGGAATAAATGTGCGGTAATAGTTCTTGAACCCCAACAATCGCTGCACATTTTTGATTCGCTGTGGAGGTTCCCACACCTGTAATGACTCGACTTTTTCCAGGTCCATTTTCACACCGACAGGTGAAATACAATGACCCAAGCAGTCAATCGTGGTTTGTGCGAACTGGCACTTCTCCCGCTTAGTGAACAGATGGTTATCTCACAAGTGTTGCCACACCAGACGCACATGTTGCCAGTGTACCTGCAGGGATGCTGAGTAGATCAAAATGTCATCCAGATAAATGACCACAAACTGATCTAATAGGTCACGGAAAACATTGTGCAAAAAATGCATAAACACAGCTGGAGCATTGGTTAAGCCAAAATGCATCATGGTATACTCAAAATGATCATACCGCGTCCAGAAGGCCATCTTCCACTCATCACCTGCATGAACGCGAACTAGATTATAGGCCCCACACAAGTCCAGCTTAGTGAAGATCTTAGCCTGACGAAGCCACTCAGTCAGTTCAGGGATGAGGGGAAGTGGGTACCGATTCCATATTGTGATTGCATTCAGCTTGTGGTAATCACAGCACAGGCGTAGCTCCCCCAATTTCTTCCTGACGAAGAGCACCAGTGCAGCCATTGGGGAGGTAGAAGGCCAGATAACCCCTTTACGGAGATTCTTCTGAATAAAGTCCCGCAACGCGGCCAGCTCCGGTTCCGACAGGGAGTATATCCAACCCACCGAAAATTTAGTGTTGGGCAACAAGTCAATCGGACAGTCATACCACTGATGCGGGGGCAACTGATCTGCCTCGTTCCCTCCAAACACGTCAGCAAAGTCCACCAACTCTGCAGGTAGATTCAAGTTCACAGGCATAGCCACATACCCTGCACAGGTGTGCAGGCAATGAGTGGCACACTTCCTGCCAAGAAACTACACTGCTCTAGACGACCAGACGATCAGTGGATCATGGGCCCATAGCCACTCCAAACACAACACCACCAAAAAATGAGGTACTGCGGCAATGTAAAACATGGCTTCTTCCACATGTTGCCCAAAATGCATGTGAAGGGATTTGGTTGTAGCAACCACAGGTCCTGAACGAAGGGGCTGACCATCAGTCGTTTCCAACAATAATGTCAGTGACACCTGTTGCTGGGGAATGGACCACTGCGTGACAAAATGAGCATCCATGAAATTGGTTGTGGACCCTGAGTCTACCAAGGCCTGGATTTCCACTGCTTCCTGAGCAGGCATGAACACACTCGCTATCAGCACGAGATACTTCACCAAGGACAACTGGGGAAAAGATGACAGCCCTGATGCCACTAGAGCCCAACCTACAGACCCCCGCAGGTTGGGCAATGCTCGTTTCCTGCTGCTGCTGACATCTCTGCTTTAGGAGCCTTAGCAAGACACTTGGCCGCAAAATGGCCTCGGCTGTCGCAATAGAGGCATGGGCCATCGTGACGATTATTATCCTTTTCAGCTTGGGTCAGGTGAGGTCAGGCAGCCCCCAACTGCATGGGCTCATCCAGAGGCACTTCCAACGGGGCCGCCATCTTGATGGAAGTGGATGCGTTCTCCGTCATCGCGTCTGTCGCTGCTGAACTGTGGCATCGATATGAAGGCATGATGCATGATATGCATCGATATGATGCATGAGCTCATGCAGGGTGTGAGGGCATTCAATGTGCACCAACTCGTCCAGGAGCTCTGATGACAGGCCTTCCTAGAACTGGTCTATCAGTGCTGCCTCATTCCATTGCAAGTCCTGGGCAACCACTCAGAAATCAGCAATATAGTCCGTGAGTGAGCCTCACCCCTGCCTCAATTCTCTCAATCACCTGTTTGCCATTTGGGCCCAAATAGGGTCCTCAAACATGGCCCTTAACTGATGGCAAAATTCAGTGTAATTATCGAACAACTGGTTGGACTGCGTCAACAGAGGCGTCGCCCAACATGCTGCAGATCCTGACAACAAGCTGATCAAAAAACCCACCTTATCCCAGTCAGTGGGGTAGTCCTCTGGCCAAAGGCTCATATAAAGCTGGCACTGCCCCAAAAATGCTAGAAATTGGACCAGCGACCCATCAAATTTATTTGGCACTGCTACTGGGCATTTGCGGCATGGCTGGACAGCTTTCATCTGAGCAACCTGCACAGTCAAAAGAGCCACTTGCTGGGCTAGCTGATCATTGTCTGCTCTGAGCTAATCCATGGTCACCCCACGTAAAACAGAAGCAAGTTGGAGGTGTGGCTGGAAGCAAAATGTGATGACCCAGGGCATGGCATAAAAGCAACAAAGTCACAAAAATGGGTAAAGTCCCTTTAATACCTCCAACTTGGCCCCCTATATCCAGTTATCCTAGGCTGGAGATCAAACTCTTCCAAAAACAGTCTACAAAGGGAAGAAATGCAGTCTGAACCCAACGTACAGATAAATTAGAAATAAAAAAAAACAACACAAACCACATTGCAGTAATTAACACAATAGGCCAGATAATAAATTGCAGACTTCCAAAAGAGAACGAAGCACACACAGTTGGGAGGATGCCAAAACCCAGATGAGCCTCGACAAAGATAATGCACGCTTTGCTTCCAGCAAAGTGCTATGTGCAAATGCCCTTCTTATATCCTGTTCTCCCAGCTGCAACTAATGAAAGGGATCAAGGGCTTTTTCTCTCCTGTAAGCTACGTTGCTCCCTTCTCCGTTCCTCCATATGTGCCCTAGGATGAAGAGGGGGTAGCCCTGGTCTTCCTCTGAATGCCCAGCCGGACAGTGCCCTTCCCCCGTTTCTTCCATAGCCACCGGAGCCACACTCCCACTCCCTGTCAGCTCTTCAATCTCCCCCTCAGAATCAGACTCCAATAAGGGCATGACACATCTTTTCATTGTCCAAGCAATCCTATCTGAGGCAAACTATAGTGACACCAAAATAATGGCTCATGCATATTATGCAATTGCTCTTAGTTATTTGCTGCACTTCATTATTGTGTGATATCATTTGTGTTGCATTAGTTCACACACTCCTGTGCAGATGTTCATATACCTAAAATATCCTATATGTTGCCACTCTTTCTGTTTGCCATTACGCTAATGAAGGCATATTATTCATTCAAATTTGGTAACCAACCAGCTGATGTACTGTTTTATGATAAGTAAGTTTTAACTCTGATGTGTTTTCTCTTTTAATCACTTATAGCAGTGATTAGTAATATATTTGAACTGAGAATCTGAAAGGTTCAATAGGATAAATTGCTTCAACTGCACTGTCACATTGGGCGACCAAAACCTCAAGATTCAGTGTTTCAAATAAAATATGTTTCAAAATTTTAAATTCTGAGTTGCATGACGATTTGCATGCCAAAAGCATCCCTTTCGAAAGAGTGCCAAAATATTGGAAAACTGGAATTATTATTTGCCCAAATTACGCTGCCCATAGTTCCTAGACATGAATCTACTTTTTTCTCTGCTAAAATCCTATAACTCAATGCCTTTCATTATAGAAGGACAGAGGAAAGTTGGGCTTGTTTGTGACAATGACTTTAATGCTTGCTTTGCTGTTTCTTTTGTGTCTCAAGATCATGGCATAATGTTTACTGTGTTATTAACAACCAAGAAATGGGTTTCTACAAAGATGCAAAGGCAGCTTCCTCAGGCATTCCATACCACAGTGAGATCCCTGTGAGCCTGAAAGAAGCGGTATGTGAAGTGGCAGTAGAGTACAAGAAGAAGAAGCACGTATTCAAGTTACGGTAAAAATCTTTATTTCTATGGCAAAAGATTAAGCGGAGCAATAGCTTACAGCCTACATTCATACATTCAGTCTGAAAATCTTATATCTTCTAAAGTTAAATGCACTTGGTTAAACTGAATGTTATTGCATTCTGTTCCAAAACAGGATCTCATAATTTGTCCATAGGGACTACCTTTCCTCCCACATTTTCTAACCTAATGAAAAGATGAAAGTTTGAGCATTCTGTGACACTAGGTTTCTCCTAAGTAAAGATATTATCTAATTATGTATTTTAGATTTCTCCTACCTTTCTGTTGTAGCCCACCAGTCAGTGGAGCTGGTGGCAGACTCTGGCAATGAGGAGGTTGGGGAGGAATTTGGGCCAGTGTTGGAATCTGGGGAAGGCTCTGATGAGTGCTCTGCATCTGAGGCAGAGATAGGGCCAGGGCCATCCAATATTTATCACCTGCTTTCAGAGTTGGATATAAGTGGGGAAGAAGAATAGCTGGAGCCTGTTCCAGATGCACGTATGCAGGGAAGGGAACAACTAAGGAACAGGGGTCGGAAGAAAAGGCACAAGTGAATGCTGAATGGCCCCCTTCCCATAGGGAATAAATAGGAGCAAAAGGGGAGTGGTGTTTGCAGGAGACAATTTGTTCACTTATGGTGAAGATTTGCTTATCTGAGTTCGTGCCTCACAGAGACTCCTTGCCAGGTATTTCATTTTACAGCATTGTGACTAGAAGTTCTCTGCTGGCAACTTTCCAAGGACTGATAAGGTTTGTTTTTGCAAATAAACTTTGGGAGACTTACTGCCGGAACTTTTCTGGGTGTGAATGCCAGGAATTCACATTAACCAAATAAAAAAGGTTTTTTTTCTGGACAAGGAGTCTGTTTCGTGATTCTGTTAAGCCTAGGTCAGAACACTTTCCACCATTAACATAGCTAATATTTCATGTACTTACTCAGTGTAAACTGAAATTATATAATCTAAAGATGAATGGAATATTTTGTGAATCCTGGTTTTAACCTTTGAAGTCCTACATGATTTGACACTACATATTTGTTAAGTTGCTTTCTTCAAGTAGATCCTACTCATCCAGTGTGCGTATCTCAGATTGGGATGCTGGAGGTCCCTCCATAACACAATAGCAAGAATATTTTGTATATGTGTAGACTGTGAATATTGCAGAGATGGATGGTACATACGTCAGTCAATCAAGCCCAGGGGTGTCAAACTCGCGGCATCAAGGCAGCATCACGTGACGCATTTTTCCCCTTGGCTAAACCAGACAGGGGCGGGGTCAGCACGTGACGCATCTGGCCTGCGGGCCATGAGTTTGACATCCCTGGTCTAATCTATTGATACAAGAACAAGGTCTCCATCTCATATAACTCTCACTTTGGTAACAGAAATATTTGCTTGATTCAAATGTGAATTTCTTCTGAATTACAGGTTAACTGATGGCAATGAGTACCTTTTCCAAGCCAAAGATGAAGTAAGGTTTTTTTCCATTCTTTTTGTTCTAAAATAAAGGTGTAACCAATATTTATTTCTGTATGTGGATACTCTCAAACTGTAGGTTCATTTCCCCTGGGGGTTATGACCAGGAAGACACAAAGTTTGTCATGGGCAAGCCCAGAAAAATCTGGCTTTAGTGAGTGAATTTAAGCCTGCTCTGCCCAGATAAACCAGTTTCAAGCAGTCTGGGATCATTGGCAAGCTTCTCAGCTTATGCAGGCATTTTAAAATTTGCAATCCTACACGCAAAGCCAAATTACTGCCAGAAATAAGTCCTACTCTGCCTGGATCTGGGCACCATAGCTGAGGAATCTGGGAACCATAGCTGAGGAACCAAATCTGGGAACCATAGCTGAGGAAGCCTGGAGATGGACAGTGCTCATCAGGTTAGAGCCAGGGCCTTTTACAGAACTGAGCAGCCATGAAGTGCTCTTGTCCAGGAAGGTAAGCAAGTCATACATCAGACCATCCCAAAGCTGTCCCTACATGCAAAAGCTATCCTGTGTTAAGCTAAAAGAAGTACAAGCCCCTAGGGATAACTGCTCTGCCATCTTGAGCAGTTGCCTCTGGGCTTTTAGTTCATCCAATTGCAAATATAGCCATAGGGGTAGCTATCTGTTTGACATGACAGTTCAGAAGCTAGAAAAAGGAGCATGTGTGGAAAAACTGTACCACACAGCTGCAGAAGGCAACCTGTTGGGGATTATCCCTAGGCAGAGCCCATGATCAAGTTAATTGCAGTTTCTTCATTGAACAAGCTCCCAGCTTTGAAATTATGAGAGGCTTTGTACTCAATCTGGAGACTACTTCAGAGTGGTGTTAACTTCAGTTCACCAACAATAGAGGCATGTACATTAAATCCAGTGTGGGGATCGAGAGAATAAACTGTAGCCAGTTAGATGTAGCAGCTGAGAGGGGAAGTCAATTGTCTGCCAGGCTCCCTTTGACTTGGCAGAGGAGAACTCCAAACCACGCTGTCTTGGCTGCAACTCAGATCCTGAGATGGGGAATTCTTCCTGAGCCTGAGCTTTGCTCAGCAGAATTAGCTTTTCCGTTTGTCCTGCCAGCAACCCTAAAGGAAGCAATCATGCTGGCCTGGGAGCCAAAGGGAAAGGAAGCAGTGATTCAGGATGCAAAAGAAGAAAACTATTTAGGAGAAGGTGGATGTATCATAGTAACATCAGCGATGCAATTCTGCAATAGAGCTACCAGGAAAGATGTGTTGGCTATTTCTGGTTGTACAAAAAAAAAAAAAAGGCCAAGGATCTTATGGGGCTGGGAAGCAGTTAAGGCCATCACTCTGCAAGCTGAGTTAAGATTCCCAGAAAACCTGTTAACCTTAACATTTATTTTAAGGAGGAAATGAACACATGGATCCAGGCCATCACATTTGCCATCTCGTCAGACAAAATTGAGTTGTCCACAAGCACACAGAGCACCCCAGCTTCAAACCGTGCCCAGACCTTGCCAGCCAGCGTGACAGTAACCAGTGAGTCTAGTCCTGGAAAACGGGAGAAAGACAAAGAGAAGAGGTTCAGCCTTTTTGGAAAAAAGAAGTGAACTCATTGCTTATTTGTCCACACTGCACTTCTCTGATCGTTCCAGTGGAATTCCAGCATGCAAGCTCAGAACCAATACATTACTCTCCGTGCCTAATGTTCCTCAATATTTTAATTTCTTTTTTTATTTATACAGCATTTTTTTAAAAAAAAACACATACTCAAAAAATTCTAAAGTTATAAATACCTGAGGTGCATTGGGCAACTGTTGAGTAAAAGAGAACCACATTTCTCCCCCCCCTTTTTTTTAGTGAAGTTAATATAGATTAGGCTTTAGTATTGAAACTGTTCCTCAATTTTTTGAGGCTGTCTTCAAAAAAAATAACACCCCTACTTTGTGTTATTGGTATGCAAGGCAGCAGAGCCAATAAAGTTCACTTTGCCCCTTGGAAACAAATTACTCATTTTAGTTTTCACTTCCATCTGAGATGGTTGCGCTGAGTCTTCACTCTGTGATTCTTCCCACTGCAAATCTAATGGTTGTGTATTCTCTTTATCCTAATAGAGTGCAGCTTGGCATTAACTTACCAGTCAATACCATTTGTATACAGGCATCTGGCTATAATTAACATGATTGTGACGCTTCCTTGCCCCCCATCTCCCCACCTGCATCTGGCAATGACAGTTAAGAATGTTGAACCAGAAGGACTTCGCATACTGATAATGGTTTTAAATAATCTGTAATTTTTTTATTTTTTATTTTGCTGAAATACATTATATTGTATGTTTCAGATAATTCTAGTAAAAGTATAAGACTAGATGTATAATTAAAAAAAAAACCTTTTAAAATCATTGACTAAGTGTAAAAGTGGAATTAAAGCATTTACTGGAAAAAAGTAATGTTATTCCAATGGTTAACTTGCTTGTCAGCTGCTGCACTGTGTTATAATTTTGCTCCATTACCTTTGCTCTTTGATACATAGTGTGCATTTCTCTGTCACCTGTAACTATTGTAATGAACAATTTTCATCTTACTGCACAATCGAAAAAAATTACATTTAATAGGAATGAATTCTCAATGACTGGGCCTGTAGACAGGATAGTACTGGAACTGGCTTTCGGTTATATGGAACTGTACCTCTAGACTTTTACCCTATCTGTTAAATATATGCTATGTCATTAAATGCTTTTAAAATTAACAGATATATGCAGGATTTTTTTCTTGTTCTTTTAAAAATAAATTGTACTATCAATAATATCAGCTTCAGAATGAAGAAGTAACTTTTTGATATCTGCTTGCACTAGTCCTTTTGCAAGAGTCCTCAGCTGCTGTTGACTTACTCTGTCTTGTGTATCACTTGTCCACTTTTGCCTGGTATCTTTCTTATTATATTACATTTAGGCTTTCCAACCACTTGAGTTGCCAAAGTCTCAAAAAGTTGCACAGATCATGCTATCATTGGGATTCCTAGTCTCCCCTCCCAACAGGGGAAAGTCTAATGTTGAGATCAGCTACAAGGCTAAGAAAGGATCCCTAACTGATAAACCTTATCAACTAAGACACAACAACAGTAAATAAGTGATTGTTTTATAGCAGTAAAAACAAAAGCAGATTGATAGCATCAACAAAAGGCTTTTGTACATGCTTTGAAAACTGCCTCAAAGGTCCTCTAATCACAACTGAGTTGCTAATCAACATATCCCCTTCCCATGATGTGTATAACTGCACATTATGTCCGATTGAAAGCCTCAGTCACTTTAGTCAGAGCTGCTGCTGGCATGCTGCAAAATTCTCCTGTGTTCTACAGGTGACAACTGAAAGGATGCTTTTCCTTGTTGCTGTAACTATCGGAAGCTATGCTATGCCAGTACAGTAACATCTGAAAATATCTTTCACCTCCAAGGAGAAACAGTTCTGTTTGGAGAAATACTCATAAGCAATGATCACCAGCAAGCTAGTTTCTAATCATAGATACTCTGATATTATGAATAAGTGCTGCTACCCTGCAAACTTGATTTTGGATTTGCATCTCAAATTGGTTGAGATAATGTACAGTGAAAGCTTGTTTTAACTGACTAATTGGGAGAAGTGGGTATGGTATTCACAGATCTTCATAAAGCAAACACTGTCATTGCTCAATTTATTTCATTTGTGTGATATTATACAAATGTTATACATTATACAAATAGAACTGACACAAAAATTATACAAATTATATCATCACATGAATTATGTAAAATGTTACAAAAGGGCAGCCTGTTACCTATGGAATTTACTGCATTGTGATCTGCTAGGTTCATATTTCACTGTAAAGATTGGAAAAAATACTCTTCTCTCTATAAGAGGCGCAGTGGAATTCTGCTATTGCCAGGAAGATTAGTGACCCTATCAGGATGACAGGTGTTCACTAACACAGGGGTCCCCACCCCTCAATCGATGGACGGGCACAAATCAGTGCCATGCCAGCAAATGCACTGCACAAACAAGCAAAGCCCCATTCATGGGATGCAGCAGCACACAAGCCATGCCCCTTCTAGTCCATGGAAAAACTTCTCCATGAAACCGGTCCCTGGTGCTCAAACGGTTGGTGGGCACTGTTCTAATAGATTAAAGCTATCACTCTGCACCTGAGAAGCCTAACTTTTAGTAGTAAAATTAGTAACTTTCTGTTGCTAAGGAATAAAAAACTTTTTAACAATACAGTTCAGCCAAGATAATTTACAGAATGCAAAGGGAAGACTTTTAAATCAACTTCTACGCATCATAACCACATAAGTGAGTAGCTTGCCATTGCTTTATATTTTTTCCCCCAACTTGCCAATCTAGACTACAATTCTGCTATATTCTGAAAAGTATCTGACCCTATTCAGGTCATGCAATATACTGAGCTACAAATAAGGTATAAACAAATGTGTATAACAAATTCAACTGTATAAACAAATTCAACTGAATTCAGCCACTGTAGTTTGTCAACTGTGATGGAACTTGGTGCCTTGGGTAAACAGGCAGTTGAAACTTAGTAGCTTGTGGTTAAAGAAACAAATCTTATGTTGAAGTGTAAACCTAGTCACTACTTTCATTTCTGATAGTAGCGAAGGGAGATCAAATATTTGCAGCAGTGTGCTTGGAAATGTGGGTTTCCACCCAACAACAGTGACTATGGAATGTTTCACTCTTAATTTTATCTCCAGTGCAACTGCCTTTGTTGGCCACTTGTGGCTGGAGTCTTGAGGCAAGGTATCCTGAGGAAACACAATCTTCTTTTTCCTTCAGAAGACAGAGTATTTAGATATCATGCTCCCTTTTTGTGCAAAATGACCCATTTTTCTCACCATATTGGTCTTGGAGATATTATACTGCAGGCAATAACAATTCCTTTCTGAGAGAGATTGCAAGAAAGGAAGTGGGGACTTAAAACTTATCTGAACCAAAAAGCAGCAAAAGAAAGATAAAACATCCTTCCACATTAACTATGATTTTGATCTAGTTCACCATCTTCCCTGTTGCAGTTATCTTTGGCTAACCAAACAGTCATTTTAAATACTAAACATTTAACATGCCATATAGTTTTTCTGACGTTGGGGGGGGGGATTTCCTCTGTGCCTTATTGGTGACTAATGTGATTCCTTCCCAGAGATTTATATATTAGTTAGTTGCAGTGATGGAGTTTACTCTGCATTGCAGTAATTAGGGCTGAGTATGGAGAAGTGTTGACTGATTAGATTTATTAAAAATGCCCTTTTTCCTATTTAGACTTTAAAGTTACAGCAGTGCAAAAGCAAAGCTTTCTGACAGAAAATCTGGAACTCAGAATAATTTTGGTTTTCTTGGCCACAGATTTGACAACAGGTATTTTCACTTCCTCTATCAGCAAAATTATACCAATGCAGAAATTGAGTTTCTGCCAGATTTGTTAGCACATGACAATATTAAACCCTAAAGGCCCTAAAGAAGTGCTCATGGAACAAAAAATATTTTTGAACCCAACTTGATACTCCTCACAGAGATTAAATACTTCATTCTCTGATAAGAGAAGTATTTGATTTCTCCAGATAAACTAGAATTAGATAAGCAAACTTTGTCAGATTACTGATTCTTTTACAGAAAAAGATGTAACCGTTTCACATTCCTATGCATAATCATTGATGAAGAAAAAACACTGAATAAATAGCAACACCTTTTGTATTTTGCATCTCCCACTGTTATTCTGGAACACTACCAAAACAGGAAAAAATTGTAAAGACAAAGCAACATTGTTTCAAAAGGTCTGTTGCTGTTTATAGAAAATGTAACCTTAGCAACCAAGAAAAATTTCAAAAGGTTTTACCATAAGGTCTGTCTGGGACAGGGTTCCCATACCTGGATCGCAAAACTCCAAATCACTGCTAAATGTAGCAAAGATACAGCAACTCTGAATTACAATCTAGTCATTATCTGGATTTTTGCAGCACAGATTTGGGGACCTTAATATTGGGGGAAGGGTGAGTGATCAGACCTTTAATTCTCACAGAAATCTGGCAGATTCACTATCCAATTTAGAAGGCTAATGTGGAAATTCATCAGTACTACATATTTAATTTCTGAACTCTGATATCCACGCCTAAAGACTTATGAAATCAGATCACAACAAATCATTATACTAATAAAATATTGACTCATCTAACAAGCATATCAAACTGTATCCATGATTACAAAGGTATAGAACTGTGCTGAAGTTAATTCATAAACCCAATTAAATTTCTTTTGAATACACCGACAATGATTTTGAAACTGGAAAGCTGACTTGGAAATACAATGTGTATATACTTATTGCACCCCAAATATTTGTTTACTCAAAAACAAGATCCATGCAAATTGTAACTTCATTGTCCCTGAAGAATCTGTTGTTAATTAACTGAACATGCCCAAGCATGTCTCCCTGAAAGGAAATGCTTCTGCAGCTATGATGGTTATGTTCAGGGTTCTTGGGATTTTTTGGTCCGAAGAACCAAGTCACTGGTAATATCTTTCTTCAATAAAAATGTTCACACTTTGTATATCTGGCACCATATGTGGAAACAGCATTCTTTTTACTCAGATTTGAATATATTTATGTCTTATACATAGTACAAACATCAGTCACTGGGCACATAAAGAACTGTATTTTTGTGTATCTATGCTAAAAGTCTTACTTGAACAAGCTCAAAGCACTCATAAAGTGACAGGGATTAGGGCTGCAGTCTTGTACACACTAAACTGAGATTAAATGCCTGTTAAGTTGAAAGATGTAGGATTTCTCCATAAATCTGCTGCAATATAAAGTTTATTTATTGGCAGTACATTCCACTGATCAAGATAGATAGATTTCTTTATTGGCCATGTGTGAAATTTGTCTTGGTGCATATGCTCTCAGTGTACATTCATCAAGAGTCAAGAATCATAAGGTACAATTTAATAGTCATATGGTACAATAAGCAATCAAATTATACTAGGAAACAGTCAATAAAATCATTAGGATACAAGCAACAACTATATTTATTGACTGTTTCCTAGTATGATTTGATTTGGGCATATACTGTATAAGAAGATGTAAAACAGAAAAATATTCTTGCTTACAAAAGAAATAGGAACGACAGTGGTTTTGATTTGTTTTGTTGCAAATCTCTGCCTGTAGTTATCAAACTGGGAGAATGCAGAGGAAATGCATATTGGCTTTGTAAGGATTCAATTAATAATCCAATAATAAATGAAAAATGCAAGTGAAGTGTGATAGGTGGATTCCCTTCCCCCCCCCCCCCCAGCAAAGATGAACTGTTGAGGGAACTAGCTACATCTAGTCTAATGAAGAGGAGAACTAAAGGTGACATTATAGCA